GGGGGATTCTAGGCAGGGGCTCTACCACTGAGCCCCACCCCCGCCCCTCCCTGGGGGATTCTAGGTAGGGGCTCTACCACTGCGCCACACCCCACCCCCTCACGGGGGATTCTAGGCAGGGGCTCTACCACTGAGCCCCACCCCCGCCCCTCCCTGGGGGATTCTAGGTAGGGGCTCTACCACTGCGCCACACCCCACCCCCTCACGGGGGATTCTAGGCAGGGGCTCTACCACTGAGCCCCACCCCCGCCCCTCCCTGGGGGATTCTAGGTAGGGGCTCTACCACTGCGCCACACCCCACCCCCTCACGGGGGATTCTAGGCAGGGGCTCTACCACTGAGCCCCACCCCCGCCCCTCCCTGGGGGATTCTAGGTAGGGGCTCTACCACTGCGCCACACCCCACCCCCTCACGGGGGATTCTAGGCAGGGGCTCTACCACTGAGCCCCACCCCCGCCCCTCCCTGGGGGATTCTAGGTAGGGGCTCTACCACTGCGCCACACCCCACCCCCTCACGGGGGATTCTAGGCAGGGGCTCTACCACTGAGCCCCACCCCCGCCCCTCCCTGGGGGATTCTAGGTAGGGGCTCTACCACTGCGCCACACCCCACCCCCTCACGGGGGATTCTAGGCAGGCGCTCTACCACTGAGCCACCCCCCAGCCCCTCACTGGGGGATTCTAGGCAGGAGCTCTACCACTGAGCCACACCCCAGCCCTCCAGAAACACATTTTGAATGTGGCTGGGTGAACAGCTTCCACTATCCATTGCTCTGACAAGAAATGTGCTCTGTTTCATCATGCCGATTCACAAACAGGGAGGGGTCATCTGTGCTCCTGATGAACTGACTCAGTGGTCAGAAAAGCTTGGAAATGTGAATCATAGGAAGGTCCTGTCTGTGAATGAGGAGGGGAAAGGGCACAGCTTCCCTCCAAAACCAGCTAGTCCAAGCTGCTGGCCAGAGAAGGACCCTCTTCCAGGTCTCAGGTCTCAGCTCCACAGCGTGCTGGATTTAAACTCTCCAGGTGGGTGTGCATGGCATCACACACCAGTGATGCCAGGACTCAGAAGGCTAAGGCAGGAAGGTCATGAGTTGGGGGGCAGCTTGGGCTTCATAGAAAGAACCCGTTTCAAAATAATTATTAGGGGTGGGCACGATGGCTCAGAGGGTAAAGGTGCTTGTTACCAAGCCTGAGGACCTGAGTTCATTTCCTGGAACCCACATAATAAAAGGAAAGAACTGATTCCTGCAAGTTGTCCTCTGATCTCTACCATGCTGTGTGGCATCCATGCACCCACATACGTTCACAAATAAATGAAATTAAAATAAATAGGGACTGGAGATGGCTCATCATTCAGCAGTTAAGAGCACTGGCTGATCTGGCAGAGAATCTGGGTTTAGTTCCCAGCAGCCACATGGTAGCAAACAATCATCTGTAACTTAGGTCCAGGGACTCTGACAACCTTTTCTGGCCTCTTGCAGGCATTGTGGTCATGCGGTCTACTTACATACATGCAGGCAAAACACTCATACACATAAAAATAAAAAATAATAAAACAAAGTAATGGCCAGGTGTGGTAATGCTTGTCTTTCATTTGAGCACTCAACAGGGAGAAACAGGTAGATCTCTGTGAGTTTGAGGCCAGCCTGGTCTACATAGAGAATTCCAGGTCAGGCAGCACTACGTAGTAAGACCGAGTCTCAAAAAAAAAAAAAACAACAAACAAGCCGGGTATGGTGGCGCACACCTTTAATCCCAGCACTCGGGAGGCAGAGGCAGGCAGATCTCTGTGAGTTCAAGGCCAGCCTGGTCTCCATAGTGAATCCAGGACAGCTGGGGCTACAGGGAGACCCTGTCTCAAAAAGACCAAAATAAATAAATAAATAAAAATTTTTAAAAAAAATGGCTGGGCATGGTGGCCTTTAATCCCAGAACTTGGGAGGAGGCAGAGGCAAGTGGAAGGAGCTCTGTAAGATCGAGGCCAGTCTGGTGTACGTAGGTCTGGGGCTACAGGGAGACCCTGTCTCAAAAGGACAAAATAATATGGATCTCTGTGAGTTTGAGGCCCGCCTGGTCTACATAGTGAGTTCCAGGCCAGCTGGGGCTACAGGGAGACCTGTCTCAATAAAGACCACTAATAATATAAATAAAAATCAAACTCTGGCTCTCTCCACACTGTCTGGGTAAAGATGGCTCAGCCCTGCCTCATTATCCAGAAAAACCCAGCCTGAAGGGGGCTCAGCCTGTGTGTGCCTTCCTGCTTCTCCTCCTCGTCTTGGCTTCATGTCCCTGGTTTGGTTGGATTTGAGACTTAAAATACGCAGGACTTGCCTGCAGCTCTAAAGAACCTTGGCTCCAAAGACAGTCCAGGAAGTCCCCGCCCAGCTCAGGGCTGCAGGGCAGCTGCCAGCACTTTTTTTTTTATAAATGTATTAGATAGTGCTATGCCTTGTGTATTAAATGTGATTTTTTTTTTTTTTTTTGCCTTTTTTTTTTTTTTTTTTTTTTTTGTAGGGTGCTAAGCAGTTACTCAACTTCCTGTGGTGGGAAGGAGGCTGGCTGCTGTGAGCAGCCCTTGCTACCCCCAGTTCCTCCTCCCCCAGGCTGCTCCTGAAGTCTCACAGACTGGGCAAAATCCAGTCTAGCAACCCAGATTAAAATAATCATAAAATACTGTCAAATCAGTTAAAACAAAACCCCAGAACATATAAAACATATAAAACCTAGTGCTGGCAGGGCTGTGGAGAAATTCTCAGTTGTTGCTAATTTGTCCTGTGTCTCCAAAGGACAATGTGGTAATTCTCAATTCCAACAATTGTGTAGGAATGCATGTTATGTGAGCTGGACAGATGGCGCAGTGGTTAAGAGCTGACCCATCAGCATCTGTCCAGCAGCTCACAAACACCTCTACCTGGAGTATCTGACGTCTGTGGCCTCTGTGGTAACCGGACTCATGTGTGCATACCCAAACACATATACATGTTAAATAAGATCCATTTTGGTACTGAGAAAACAGACACCAGATTTTGAAAAAGCAAATATATTCATTCAGACCCTCTTTATTAGAACTGTCTGGGCCACAGAAAACAGTCCTTTTTTTCTTGTTTTTTGACACAGGGTCTTACTTTGTATCCTGGTTGGGCTAGGACTCACCATGTAGCTCAGGCTGCCTCAAACTCACAGAGATCTGCATGCCTCGGTCTCCTGAGTGCTGGGATTAAAGGCACATGCCACCACATCTGGCACGAAAACCCTCTTTCTGACAGTGACTGAGTGGAAAAACCAAGATAAACCACATCGAGGGGTTGGAGGGGATAGCTCAATGGCAGAGCACTTGAGGCCTTGACACTAAAACACAGAAAACCCCAAAGCAATCTGAATGTTATTAAGAAAATATGCAGGGGCTGGAGAGACGGCTCAGCGGTTAAGAAAAGTGGCTGTTCTTGCAGAAGACCTGGGTTTGAATCCCAGCACCCACATGTCAGCTAACAACTGTCCATAACTCCAGTTCCAGGGGATCCGATGGCCTCTTCTGTCCTGCCAGGGCATTGGATGACACTGGTGCACTTACATACATGCAAAGATAATCAACAGAAACTTCAGTTTACACAGAAAGAACATGTACATATACATTCATGCGTGAGTGTGCGTGTATGTGTGTGTGTGCACAGTTCACAAGGAGATCAGCGGACAGCCTTGGCTACCAATCCTTGCCTTCCACCCTGTTGGAGACAGGGTCCCACAGCATACTCCCAGGCTAGTTGGCTCAGGAGTTCTGGAGTTGGGGCTCCCCACAGGAGCTGGGTTTGAGACATATACTTGACTTTATGTGGGTTCTGGGGATTTGCACTCAGTACTTTTAGGAAAACCTGACTCATAGGAAGATGGAACTTCCCTCAAAGTCACAGAGTTCTGTTTTGGTAGGCCCGGCTGGCCTGGAACTCCCTATGTAGACCAGGCTGTACTCAAATTCAAGAGATCCACCTGTCTCTGCCTCCTGAGTGCTGGGATTAGAAGTGTGCACCATCATGCCTAGATATCACAGGGTACTTAGCATGGCTTTGAGCCTGGGACTCAGACCCGCATCCCCGCCCTGGGTCAGGTTAACCAGATGGACAAGTGGACGGATGAGGTCAGCAGTGCACACGGCACTATAAGTGTCTGACAGTGTCTTAGCCACACCCAGCACTATAGCCTCTGAACTTGGAAGGTCCCCATTTTCCGGGCAAGGAGCGTTGAGGCCCACACAAGTTAGGCAGTTTGCCTACGTCACGACCACACTGCCTCAGGCCTGAGCAGCCTTGGGAGCTGAACTAGCTCTTCTCCGCCTGGCCCTAGGCTGGCTTTTAGCTAAGGATTCCTGTCCACCGCTCGAGGGCCGGACTGGATCAGTCCGGTCCTGGGTGGCCTGGCTGGGCGCTTCCCCACCACCCATGCCACCGGGCAAGGAGGGGCATCAGTTTGCCAGGCACCCCCTCGAGGTCTGGGGCGCCCCTAGAACCTGGACTCCGGTGGAGGCGGGCACTAAAAAGGGGTGGAGTGACGGGGAGGGGGCGCCAGCTCATTTCCCGGTTGCAGCAACCCGGAAGGCTCGCGGATGGAGAGGGGAAGTGACTGGGCGTGGGGCCCTGCGGCCGAAGTAACGGGGAGACTCGGGGTGCCAGGCAGACTTCGAGGGTGGAGATCGGGAAGCGGAGACCGGACGCGAAGGCTGGGGCAGTGGCCGCCTCGATGGTGTCGTGAGGACTGCAGCCTCCACCTCCCCGCGATTCCTGCCCGCCTCGCGCCCCGCATCCCCAGCATCCCGCGCACCGGCTGCTCGCCGGGAGCCCCATCAGGTCCTCCGCATCTGCAGACTGCCCTCCATTCGTGTCTCACCCCCCAGGTGCCCCTCACCATCGGACATCGCCTCTTGTCCCCTCACTCCCAAGTGGCCTCAGACCCCTCCCCGCACTCACACACCTCGGGGCCACTAGCACCCCCTCACCTCGGACCCTCACCTCGGGGCGCCCCGGCCGCGGACTCTGGACAGTCGACGCGCCGATCCGGCTCTGAGCCCCACGCAGTGCAGCAACCACTTCCTCGTGGGCGGGGGGGGCGGGGCCTCCGGGTTTCAGCCCCGCAGGGACTCGGGGGGCGGGGCCCTCGACTGATGAGGCCCGATCCGAGGTCCCGCCCACCCCCGGGGTATGTGGAAAGTTAGAGCAGATCTACCCGGAAATCGCCAGCCAAGCCCTTAGTACATTCTGGGTGGGGAAACTGAGGCTGGGGGAGCAGCTGGAGGGCGGGAGTCAGTGCTCGGGCCACCAAGAACGCAGTGAGGGGCTTGGAGTCCACAGGCAGGTGACCAAGCAACTTAGAGACCGGTGGGGGCCTCATTCCCGTGCAGGTACCTGTGCACCCCGGGAGCCCAACTGCAGGCCCTGGGCAGTGAAGGCGGCATGGAAGTGGCCAGTGATGCCTGGCCCCGCCCTCCTCATCCTCAGTGTCCTTTTTTTAAAAAGTATATTTTATTTATGTGTATGAGTATCTTGGTGGGCATGTGTATAAGTGCACCATGTGTAATGCCTGCAGGGTCAGAAGAGGGCATCGGACCCCCGGAACTGGAGTTACAGTCATTGTTAGCCACCACGTGGGTTCTGGGAATTGAACTCAGGTCCTCCGCAGGAGCAGCCAGTGCTCTAACCACCGAGCCATCTCCCCAGGTGACCTCTCTTTTCTGAACACGTCTCTCTTTCATGTTACCTACACAGCTTTGCAAGCTACCCAAGTCTCGTGGTGCTCTGGGGCCATCCAGTTCTGACCCTATATGTCACCAACGGAGCCATGACGGGTGGTCAGGTGGATGAGGACCCAGGTAAACACTTCTCAGTCAGCCAGGTGTGGTGGTCTGTCACCAGACCTCCACCGTCACCGTGGCTGGTCTAGGCCTTTGACACATGCTGTTCTTTTTGCCTAGATCCTATGTCCCCCACATTGCCCTCACTGATAAATGCGGTTTTGTCATGCCAGCCCAGGCTGAGTGCCTGTAAGGTCACTTTCCCCTCACCCCTATGAGAGGCCTTCCCTAGACTCCCAACAGTATCCTGTGCCAACAGTCTGGCTCCAGTTACACTGGGACCCTGAGCTTTTCTTTTAGGGGTGCTTGGTGGGTGGGGGGCTAGATATACTTAGAAGCACAGAGCAATTAAGCGCCTGTGGTGCATACCAGCATTTGGGAGGTGGAGGCAAGATCAGGAGTTCAAGGTCATCCTTGGCTACATAATGAGTTCAAGGGCAGCAGAGACTACAAGAGACCCTGCCTCAAACAACAAAATGGGAGCTGGAGAGATGGCTCAGCGATTAAAGGCACTGACTGCTCTTGCAGAAGATCCCGGGTTCAGTTCCCAGCACCCACATGGCACCTGACTCCAGTTCCAGGGGATCTGACTTTCTATTCTACCCTCCAGGGGCATAGCATGACATGGGTGCACTTACATACATACAGGCAAAATATTCATACACATAAAATAAAACTAAAAAGTAGGGCTGGAGAGATGGCTCAGTGGTTAAGAGCGCTGACTGCTCTTGCAGAGGACTGGGGTTCAGTTCCCAGCTCCCACATGGAGGCTAACCCTATAACTGCAGTCCAGGAGATCCGACTCCCTCTTCTGATCTTTGCAGTGCAGTACACTTAAACACATGTAGGCAAAACCCTCATACACTTAAAATAAAAAATAAATAAAAATCAAAAACGAACAAACGCATATACAGAAAATGGGCAGGCTCAGTGGTTAAATGTGCCTGCAGGCAAGCCTTAAGGACCTGAGTTTGAGCCCCACAACCCCATGATGGAAGGAGAGAACTGACTTGCTCAGGCTGTCCTCTGACCTCCACACACATACTGTATGTAGTGCACTTGAGCTCCCATGCACACACACAAACATACACACACACTGAATAAATAAATGTAAGTGAAAATTTTTATTTAATTTCTATTTTATGTGTATGAGTGTTTGCCTGCATGTGTGTTAAGAATACCACGTGTGCAATACCTGTGGGAACCAGAAGAGGGCTTTGTAATCCCTGCAACTGGAGTTACAGATGGCTGTTAGCTGCCTAGTGGGTGCTGGCACTGTTGTTGAGTCCCTGGCTTCCCATCCCAGCTCAGCTCTGTGAAGGCCTAGGGTATGGCCCCAGGAGGCCTTGAGTGATCTAACTCCTTAAGCTTGTGGCGGTATCCCCTGGCCTAGACTCCTGACTAAGATGACCTGTTGACTTCAGTGGAAGAACAGAGCCAAAGCCAGGACGCTGGATGGTGACTCATCACAGAGAATTCCTTCCAGATGGGCTGCAGAGTGAGCACAGAGGGGCACTGCCCTCAGTCTCCAAAACACAGCACCAAGGAAAGACCAGAGCCCAACCCTGACTGGTCACCTTGAGCCCAAGCTCCCTTCAAAAGGGTTCCGATACATGAACCAGGTTATTTGTAATTTTTTTCCCTCCTGTATCCCAGTTGGCCTGGAACTCATTATGTAGACCAGGCTGGCCTCAATCTCACAGAGATTTGCCTGCCTCTGCTCCCAAGTGCTGGGATTAAAGGTATGGGCCATCACATCTGGCAACATTTTCATTTTTGGGGTGGTGCTAGACATGGAACTCAAGCCTTGCACATACTAGGCAAGGAGTCTGTCCTGAACCATGCCCTCAACCTCTTATGGGAGGTTCTAGGGAAGCACACTACCACTGAACTACTCCCTCAGGCAGGTGTTCTACCACTGAGCCACACCCCAGCCCCTCACTGGGAGATCCTAGGCAGGTGCTCTACCACTGAGCCATCCTCCAGCCCCTCACTGGGGGATTCTAGGCAGGTGCTCTACCACTGAGCCACGCCTCAGCCCCTCACTGGGGGATTCGAGGCAGGTCTTTACCACTGAGCTACACTCCCAGCCTCTGTCTGCTTTATTGTTAAGCTTACAAAGTTTTTACCTGTTTCTACCTCTTCTTAAAGTGAAAAGGGAAGTGAGGTAGTCTGACATGATGAAACTACTCATAATGGTCATTCACACAGCAGCCATGTTTGTGTGATTTGATTTGCTATTCCCAGGCCCCGTCACGGTGGGAACTACTCAACAACAGCCACAGGATGAATGAATGGGCAAATGAGTGAATGAATGAACAGTCCTCAAAAACTGAATGCAACTCTGGGTCTGCCACTTGCCCTGTGGTATAACCTCAGCAAAGTCACCCTTGTTGTGTGTCAGTCTCTACATCTGTGAAGTAAACGGTTTGAACACCACCCGTCACACCACCCTCACAGGCCTACAGTCATGGTGGGAAGGCTCACAGGACAGGGAAGTACTGTGTTTATATATTGTGTCTCCTGAAGTCTTGTGTGTTATTACATTTTAATTTATTCAGAGCCAGGCATGGTAGTGCATGCCTGTAGTCCCAGCACTTGGTAGGCAGAGGCAAGTGGATCTCTGTGAGTTTGAGGCCAACTTGTTCTACATAGCAAGTTTTAGGCCAGCTCAGAATAGATAGTGAGACACTGTTTCAAAAAACAACAACAAAAATTCTTTTTAATATATTTATTGTGGGAGAGGGCATGAGTGTTACCCACTGAGCCATCTCATCAACTTCATGTGTTTTCATCCTGTTGGTGGCTCTTCTGAGATGTGATTGGATTATGAAGATGCTGACCTCATCAGTGGGTGAATCCATTGAGCTTTTAGCTGACTGGGCTGCTAGGACCTAGGGTCTAGTTGGAGGAGGTCAGTCACTGGGGGAAAGCCTTTGAAGAGTGTGTTTCATCCTGATAGTTCTCTCTCTCTCTCTCTCTCTCTCTCTCTCTTCCTGGCAGCCATGAGGTGAGCAGTTCTGCTCCCTCCACCCTCTGTGCTGTGATGCTGTGCCTCACCACAGGCCTATAGCAGTGGGGCCAAGTGACCATAGACGGAGACCTGAGAAGTCATTAGCCAAAACAAAGCTTTCCTGTGTATGCATGTGTGTGCCCATGTGTGTGGAGGTACAATGTGTGCATGTGGGGGCCAGAGGTCAACCTCAGGTGTCAGTCCTCAGGCACCATCCACCTTGTGCTTCTAAGACAGGGAGGGTCTCTCCCTGGCCTAGAGCTCAATAGTTAGGCCTGTGAATTCCAGGGACCTGCCTGACTGTCTCCACCTCTCAGCGCTGAGGTTATAAGTGCACACCACACACCACACCTGTTTGCTTTCGCCATAGTGGGTAGCATTTGTTTTTTTTTTTTTTTTTTTTTTTTTTTTTTTTGGCTACAGGGTCTTGCTATGTAGCCCTAGCTGGCCTGGAACTCACAAACTCATAGAGATCCACCTGCTTCAGTTTCCTGAGTGCTGGGACTTACAGGTGTTTACCACCCTGACCAGCATTAAGTTGCTTTTGTCAAAATTTTGTCACAGAGGCAAGGAGTCTGTCCTGAACCATAACCTTCCATTATCCAGGCACAGAGATTAAAAATTAACACAGGAGGGGCTTGCAAGATGGCTTAGACCGGAAAGGTGCCTGGTGCCAAGCCTGGTGATCTGAGTTTAACACTTGCAGTTCCCGTGGTGGAAGGAGAGAACTGATTTCTTTAAGTTATGCTGACCTCCACGTGTGTACTGTGGGGTGCACCCCTCACATGCACACAGTAAGTAAATAAAAATAGAACTGAAAACAAACACAGGAAGTACACCTCCGATTTCAAAGCAACAGGAGGTATTTGAAATGATTCCCTCAAGAGACAGTTTGCCCTCCCTGGCTCTGCCCTCCTTCCTCCCTTCCTTCCTAGCTCTCTCCCTCTCCCTTCCTGTCCTCCTTCCCTGTCCTTTTCTCCCTCTCTGTCTCTCTCAGGGTCTATGCCAGACTGTCATCCCAGAACTCAAAAATCCTCCTGCATCAGCTTCGCTAGTGCTGGGACCTCAGGCAGGCAAGTACCATGAAGTTTTCTGACCTTCAGGAAGCAAGTCTTTGAGGGAGGGCTGCTCAGGGATTTCACCTGGAGTTCCCGGAATCAGTTGGACAGCTCTCAGTCTCTTCCTGGAATCTGCACAAAGTGCCCTGAGGCAACGCTTTGCTACCCCATTTTTTCTGCATCTCTGATTTCCAAGAAATGCAGCCTCATGCGGGGTTAACTTGGGAGGCGTCAGCCCTGTGGGGCTGGTACAGCATCTTCTTCCATTATCCAGGCTCTCGATGGTTCAGCATCTTCTTCCATTATCTTGCTGGCTCTCAGCTCCTTCCTCCCCCTGTATTAGCCTTGCTGCCTCCTGGACACTGCTGACCTCAAGCAAGCAGTGGACTGGTCTAGCAGTGGGAGGCTCAGGAAGAAAACCTTCCCCAGGAACTCCCAGAATAATCTTCCTTTTGTTTCAACACCCAGAACAAGGACCTCCAGACCAAGAGATCACCCAGTGATAACTTAGCAGGAGAGAAGGTAAACCACAGTGCCCAAAGCTTACCAGCCAGTGTAAAATGGTTAAACCCAAGAGGGAGGTCTACAACACTCAGCCCATCCCAACCAGTCCTCTGGAAAGGCACTCAGTCACACACTCACCTTCTCAGTCAGAGCTCTGTGCCTTTGTAATTGGGAAATTCAGCTCTACAGTGAAACCCTCCAAAGTGCTCCTTTAGGAGGTCTAGAGCTGGGTGTGGTGGCACATGCCTTTAGTCCCAGCACTTGGGAGGCAGGGGCAGGTATCTCTCTGAGTTGGAGGCCAGCCTGGTCTACATAGCAAGTGCCAGGTCAGCTGGGGATACAGGGAGACCCTGTCTTAAAAAAAAAAAAAAAACAAAATAAGCAAAATCAAAACACAAAGAAGAAGGTTCAGAGCCGATATGGTGATGGTGGTGAACACCTTCAACCCCATTACTCAGGAGGCTGAGGCAGAAAGATCTTGAGTTTCAGGCTAGCTAGCCTGGTAACAGAGCAAAATGCCATCTCAGAAAAGTAAACAAAATAATAGCAGTAATAGCATATAAATAACTAGGAGGCTGGAGAGGTGGCTCAGCCATGGAGTACTTGCTGCTCTTGCAGAGGACCTGGGATTGGTTCCCAGCACCCATACTGGGTGACTCAGAAGGCTCTGATACCATCTTCAAAACTCCACAGACACTGCACAGAATACAAAAAAGTAAAATAAAAAAATGTACATACATGTAAATGGCTCAGGCTGAGGATACAGCTGTGGTAGAGCTAGTCTGATACATGTAAGATCCTAGGTTTGAGCCCCAGTTCTGCCAGAAAATTAGTATTAAAGTAAAAAAAGAAACTCTCATCACCAGTGGGACATCACCTGCTTCGAGGCTTGGATGAGCTGAACTGGGCTGACACTAGGGCATGTCCATTTCTAGCCTTGTCCTGCAGCTCGAACGCTCACTGGCTACCACTGGCGTTCTCAAGAGCTCCTTTTCCATTCCCCTTTCTGAACATGAGGTCTTTCATCCTTATAGTGTGGCAACACCTACAGAGCTGTTGTCAGCAGTCAATGCTCACCTCAGTACGTTCAAGTACACAGGAGTTCCTGCCATCCGGGGTGCAGAGGGGACACCACAGCACAGGGAGTGACTGAGGCAGGGCCACCAGGTCAGCACCCAGGTACTAGGATCCTCTTTTGGAGACAGAGTAAGGCTTGCCATGAGTCATAGAAAGTCACATTAATCTTTTGTAAGGATCGCGTTCCTGTGAGTCTTCTTGGTAGTACCCAGGGGGGCTGTTAAAGTGCTGCTGCGGAGTCTGGGGCTGTGGCTCAGTGGGTTGAGCACTTGCCTAGCATGCAGAGCTCTGGGTTCTAACCTCAGCTCTGAATAAACCAGCTGTGGTGGTAGGAGGATTAGGAATTCAAGGTCATCCTTGGCTACAGAGTGAGTGGCAGGCCAGCCTGGGATACATGAGACCCTGTCTCAAAAAACAACCCCCCCCCCCATAAAATTGCTGACGTTTAAGCCGGGCGTGGTGGCACACGCCTTTGATCTCAGCACTTAGGAAGCAGAGGCAGAGGGATCTCTGTGAGTTCAAGGCCAGCCTGGTCTACATAGTGAGTTCCAGGACAGCTGGGGCTACAGGGAGACCCTGTTTCAAAAAGACCAAAAAAAAAAAAATTGCTGATGTTTGTCCTGAGCAGCGCAGTCAAGACATGGCCACACTCAAGGCTACTACAGATCAACTGATTTTGTTTTTGGGAGATGGGCTCTGGCTATGTAGTCTTGGATGGCCTGTAATCCACTCTGTAGATCAGACTGGCCTCCAACTCATGGTGATCCTGTCTCAGCCCAAGTGATTTTGCTACACATTTAGATTGGTATCTAGAAAGATTCTCAGCCTTGCATTTTTCAGTATATTTAAAAAGATTTAATTCTAGCCGGGCATGGTGGCTCACACCTTTATTCCCAGTGACTGGGAGGCAGAAGTGGGGAATCTCTCGTGAAATTGAGGCCAGTCTGGTCTACATAGCAAATTCCAGGCCCGCTATAGCTACAGGGAGACCTGTCTCAAAAACACCAAAAAAAAAAAAAAAAAAAATTATGTGTATACATGTATTGCCTGCATGTAAGTGTACCCATGTCATGTCGTACAATGCCTCCAGAAGACAGAAGAGGCCACTGGATTGAAGGAGAGTGCCCCTCAGACACCCCTCCCTGTCCTCTGAGAAAGAGCTGCCCTCCGCCTGACTCGAAATCCCCTAGATTGTTCGAACCCTTTCCTGGTACATCTGTTTATGGTTTCTATGGAAATGGTCCGGGGCAGAAGAGGAAGAACATTCTGCCCCAGGTAAGCTAGCCAGTGGCTGTATAGGTTAAGGCTCTGGAAATCAGCCCTAGATTGTTCGAACCCTTTCCTGGTACATCTGTTTATGGTTCCCATAGAAATCCCCTGCTCTGCAGTTGTTGTGCTTAAAAGCCCTGAGTTTCCAAGGCTCTAGGTCGCAGTGAAGCACCCAAGCCTGCCTGTGTCCCTGGCCAGTCGATTTCAATAAAGCAGTTAAGTTCTCTTGAGTCTCAGTGTCCAAGTGGTCAATTCAGACCAGAATTTTTCAGACCCCGAACAGGATCCCCTGCAAATGGAGTTATGGACAGATGTTAGCTGCAATGTGGGTATTGGGATTCAAACCTGGATCTTCTGCAAGAACAGTGTTCTTAACCACTGAGTCATCTCTCTAGCCCCATTTATTTATAATGTAGATTTTTATTGAATTTTTGTGAATTTTATACATCTTAATATTTAGAACCCCTTCCCTATCCACACCCTCTATAATCCCCCTACTAGATTTCATTATGTTAAGGCCTATCAAGTCAAGCTTATATACCCAGATGCCCCTCAGTGAGTTCATCCATTGGAGTCTCGTCAGCCTACCTAGCATCACTCCCTTAAAGAACGGCAACTCTCCCTCATCTAGCAGTAATCAGTTGCCAACTGTTTCTTGGCTAAGTTTGGGGCCTGCTGCCCATTTCCCAGTTCTATGCTGGGTTTCTGTCTGAGTTTGCATAGGTTTTGTGCATGCTGTCACTATTGCTGTAAATTCATATGAGCAAGTTCCCAGAGGCCTGGAAGACTGTTTCCTTATGGTCATGTATTCACCCTTTTTTTTTTTTTTTCTTTTTCGGTCTTTTTGAGACAGGGTCTCCCCGTAGCCCCAGCTAGCCTAGATAGAACTCACTATGTAGACCAGGTTGGCCTTGAACTCACAGGAATCCACCTGCCTCTGCCTCCCAAGTGCTGGGATTAAAGGCATGCACCACCATGTCCACCAGGGACAATAGTCTTAAGATAGAACATTCCTCTTTCCTCTTCTTATTTGTGGTGCTCAGAGAAATGGGGACGCAGGGCAGACCTGAGTCCTCCAGGCAGGCTCTAACTGGCTCTACTGTTCAGTGGAGGTGGGTTTCTCTTAAGACTTATCAGAGTGCATTTTGCAGGACTGCAATGCTAAGAGAATGGTCAATGAATCGCCCTACCTCACAAGAATGCTCCGTTATGTTTTGTGTGATAAGGTAGCACTATGTAGCTCAGGTTGGCCTTGAATTTGCAATCCTTCTGCCTCAGCCTTTAGAGTGCTGGGATTATAGATGTGTACTACCATGCCTAGCTCAATAAATGGCTTTTCATTTAAAATAAAATTTTTATGTGTATGAATGTATTGCCTGTATGTGTGTAAGTGCACCCGTGTCATGCAATGCCTGAGGAGATCAGAAGAAGGAGTTGGATTCCCCTGGAAGTGGAGTTAAGGACTGTTGTTAGCTGCAATGTGGATGCTGGGAATTTAACCCAGGTCCTTCGAAAGAGCAGCCAGTGTGCTTAATCGCTAAGCCATCTCTCCAGCCCCTAGTTTTTGTTTTTTGAGACAGGATCTCCCTGCAGTCCCAGCTGGCCTTGAACTCACAGAGAGGCCTGCCTCTGCCTCCCAGTGTTAGGGATCAAAGGCGTGTACCACCATGCCCAGCTTTAATTGTTTGTTATTATTACTTTTTTGGTCTTTTTGAGACAGGGTCTCCGTGTAGCCCCAGCTGTCTTGGAACTATGTAGACCAGGCTGGCCTTGAACTCACAGAGATCCGCCTGCCTCTGCCTCCCAAGTGCTGGGATTAAAGGTGTGTGCCACCACACCTGGCTCTAATTGTTTATTTTTATTTTATGTGCATGAGTGTTTTGCCTGCATGTATATAAGTGCACCCATTGTGCAAAGCCTGCAGAGGCCAAAAGAGGGTGGATCCTCTGGAACTGGAGTACAGACTGTTGTAAGTTCAAGGTGAGCCTGGTCTACAAAGCAAGTTCCAGGTCAGTTGGGGCTACAGGGAGACCCTATCTCAAAAAGAACAAAAAAAAAGAAACCAAGATCTAAGGCCATATCTAAAAATGAACACATTTACACATTCAGGATTTTTATTTGCATTTCTGGCAGACAAGTTACACACACACCCTTCACCCTTTCCTTTAAGTTAGTGTGACAATTCTCAGTAACAAACTACTTAAAGAGAAGCTTTGGTCAAAATGGAATGAAATACCAAAATCAAAACAAAACAAAAGGAAAACAAAACAGAAAACAAACCACTGCCTCCTTTAAAACCAACACTCTCACCAATGATACCCAAACGAACACACAGTTTGCTTGATCCGAGGTGCAGTGTTTCCATGGGGCCTGCGTTCCTCGACACCACGTGAGGCAGAGCCGTGGTCAGCCTGCTCCTCAAGCTGGATGGCGGAGACTCGCTCGGCTTCACATTATCCGGAGGCCCTGGATCGAGGACTCTAGGGTCTTGAGAAAGGAGGAACATTACTAGGGGAACTAGCCACCTGTTTCCCCTCAGTTTGTACTGTAGCCCCTCTCCTCCCTGATGGGCACACAGACCCACCTGCAATGACCCAGATCCCCGTCTCCAAACTTACCCTGCTCTCTCCCTGCAGAGATGTCTCTGCCCACATTACCCAGCTCACAAGCTCTGGGTCCACACCTCAGTCCTTTTTTTTTTTAAAATTTTTCTTTTGTCTTTTTGAGGCAGGGTCTCCCTGTAGCCCCAGCTGTCCTGGAACTTACTATGTAGACCAGGCTGGCCCTGAACTCAGAGATTTGCCTGCCTCAGCCTCCTGAGTGCTAGGATTATACACCCAGTTTGCTGTTGATTTTAGTGTGTGCAGGTATATGGTCACTGGGTATTTTATCACTCCCTGCCTTACTCCCCTGAGACAGGGCTTCTTACTGAACCTGGAGCGTATAGTATATTTTATTTTGTTGGTTTTTTTTTTTTTTTTTTTTTTTTTTGGCTATGGTGCCAGCCAGCAAGCTCCAGTAATCCTCCCATCTCTGCCCCTTCCAGCTCTAGGACAAGAGTTACAGGCACATGTCCACACCCAGCTTTTTACATGAATACTGAGATCTGAACTCAGGGCCTTATGTTTGCCAGCAAGCACTGTTGCTCACTGCCCACACCTCTTTTTTTGGAGACAAGGTCTTATTCTCTACCCTGGACTGGCCTCAAACTCAAAGCAATCCTCCTGCCTCAGTCTCCCAAGTGCAGGGATTACAGGTGTGAGCCCCATATCCATCTGTGTTTATTTTAAAGATTTACTGTATTTTTAATTGAACAATTGTATGTTCATGCGTGTGTGTCTGTGTGGATATGTGCATGTGAGTGCAGGTGTCCTCAGAGGCCAGAGGAACTGGATCCCCTGGAGTTGGAGTTAGATAGCTGTGACCACCAGATATGGGTGCTGGGATCCAAACTCAAGACCTCTGCAGGAGCACTATTCACTCTTAAGTGCTCAGTCATCTCTCCAGTCCTATCCACTATGTTTAGTACATAAATGAGTGTAAACTAGAAAAATGTCTATACAGAGAAATGTAGGCTGCTGCCCAACACAGTGCCTGCTTCAACAATGCAATTTATTCTGGGGAATAAATGAAATCTAGGAGACACCAACCCCCCAGGGAGGATGGTAGTCCCCAACACAGAAGGTTCTGGGACCTGCCCTCCTGCCACGCATGAAAGCTAATGCTGTAGTTCCAGGAGAGAAATAGTTCTCTCAGGAAGAGTTTGAACACAAACAAGATTTGAGCTAGAACTGTGGGAAAGCCTTAGAATCAAGGGCTGGGGAAGCTCAGTGTGCTAGTGCTTGCCTAGCACATGCAAGGCCCTGCGTTCCATCCCCAGCACTGCAAAAAATAACCACCACAAAGAAATACCTTGAAATCCCAAATTGTCATGGCTCCATCAATACCAGTGGTGCAAAATTTGCGACAGTCTTGCTTGTCCACCTCATAAATAGACACTTGACTGAAAGAAAGCAGAATCAAGAGATTGTGAAGTCTGTGGCAGAAATGAACCAGCCCTCCTGTCCAACAGCATAAGGGACCCTAAAAGAAACCAGCTAACTATCAGCTCTTCAATATTAACTTGTCATCAATATTAGGCTGCAGCAATGAGTCAGAAAACATCCCAAAGAGAGCATGGGGGCTCACAGCTGCAATGCAGCACCTGGGAGGTTGTAGCAGGGTTCTAGCTTGGGCTACGTACTGAGTTCCACCAGCCAGGGTTTCATAGCAAGACCCTGTCTCAAAGAAAGGGTAAATGGGAGCTGGAGAGATGGCTCCACGGTTAACACTGACTCTTCTTGCAAAAGACCTGGGTTTGAATCCCAACACCTACATGGCAGCTAACAACTGTCTGTAACTTCTGTTCTGGGGATCCGACAGCTCCTTCTGTCCTGCACTGCAGAACACGGGTGCACTTACCTACATGCAGGCAATACACTCATACACATAAAAAAATATATATAAAAAAAATAAGAGCCGGGTGTGGTGGCGCATGCCTTTCATTCCAGCACTCGGGAGGCAGAGGCAGGCAGATCTCTGTGAGTTCAAGGCCAGCCTAGTCTACATAGTGAGTTCCAGGACATCTGGGGCTACAGGAAGATGTTGTCCCAAAAAGGCCAAAAAAAAAAAAAAAAAAAAAAAAAGGTAAATGAGGGAGGGCTGGGATGTGGCTTGGCTGGCAGAGTGCTTGCCTAGCATGGGGCCCTGGTTCCATTCTCAGAACCACATCAACAGGGCATGGTGGACCCAAAGTCCAAGGTCACCCTCAGTTATTACAGCAATCTCACATCTGCCTAAATATAGTAAGTCCGAGACCCACCCAAGCTACATAAAACCCTGTCTCAAAAACAAGAGAGAAAGAAGTATTCTAATGGAGTTTACTGCCAGATGTCAGAAAAAGAAGGGAAAAAAGTTAAGAGTGAGCTGGAGGAGGATGCTGGCTCACAGTATGTGGATAAGCAGGTGGGAGCAGCTTGTGGGTGAGACCTCAGCAGTGATGCTGATGGGACACAGGCAATGACTGAAGTCACTGAAGTCAAATGTCCCCAACAAACTCTCTCAATTCACTTCCCAGAGCAGCTGGAGCACAAGGCTCAGAGCCCTCCTTGCTGTTTAAAATTAACCATTATGGGGATGTGGGTGTGGCTTGGTGGCAGAGTGCTTGCCTAGCAAATACAGGGTTCTGGGTTCAATCCCAAGTCCAAATAAACAAAAACAAAATTAATCATAAATGTCAGCAGCAGCCAGACACTCCCCCAGATTCCAGCAGAGCAGAGGGACAGAGAAAGAGACAACCTATGTGAGTCAATTATCTGGAAAGCTTTCAAGGTCAAGTCTATACTATAGTTCAGACGATGTTTTTTTTTTCTTCTTGGAAATAACCAGACTGCAGGTAGTTCCTCTAGGGAAGGATAGCAGACTATGGCACTACAAACTACTTTTGTACAGCTTGTGAACTGAGAATGGTCTTTCCATATTTATTATTTTTTAGTCTCCCCCACCCCCAGGCCTGCTCCCCTACCCCTCCTTCTAAAAGACTTTATTCATGAGTGTTTTGCCTGCATGTATGTAAGTGCGCCCATGTTGTGCAATGCCCACAGAAGTCAGAAGACTGCTTCAGATCCCCTGGAATTGGAGTTATAGATAGCTGTTAGTCACCAACTGTTAGAACTGAATCCGGGTCCTCTGAAAGAGCAGCCAGTGTTAACTGCTGAGCCATTTCTCCAGCCCACACCACTCCCTTTTCTGAGACAAGGTCTCCTTGGTAGCCCTATCTGGCCTGGAACTCACTATGTGGATCAGGCTGGCCTTGAACTCACAGAGCTCCACCTGCCTTTTCCTCTAGAATGCTGAGTTTCAAAGAATGCACCATCATGCCCAACTTCCACCCCTCCTTTTTTGTTTTTGTGGGGGTTTTTTTGCTTTTTTTTAAGACAGGGTCTCCCTATAGCCCCAGCTGGCCTCAAACTACTATGTAGACCAGAATGGCTTCAATCTCACAGAATCCACCTGTCTCTGCCTCCTGAGAGCTGTGGTTTAAGGTGTGTACCACCATGCCCTCCCCCACTCCCTTTTAACAACATCTATTTGTTGAGTGTGTGTGCCTATATACAGACCAGAGGACAACTCTCTGGAGTTTGTTCTCTTCTTCCACCATGTGGGTTCTGGGGATTAAGCTCAGGTTGTCAGGTTTGGTGGCAAGTGCCTTTACCCACTGAGCCATCTTGCCAGCCCTTTACCAATACTCTTGTCCCAGGCTCCCAAGTACTGGGATTACTGGCCTGTGCTCCCATGGGCATCATAAGAAACCTAATTCCTGCACATAATGGTGGACCGTGCAATGGGCCTGAGCTTCTCTAGTAGAGGGCACACTCGGGCATGGCTGGTCCGAACTGCAGAATGACTAGGTGGTCATTCTGAGCTGAAAACAAGACTTTAGCAGCTAGGGAATACAGGCCTACCTGTTTTCAGCCCTGCAGGGAGGCTGGGGCCTGCAGTACACAGGGCTTTGTAAGATGCAGCAAGACAGAGGGCACTCTGGTTACCTAACCACTTCTCTACAGAAATCCAGTGCCCAGTTCCAGGGGCCCCGGGGCTGGAGGCACCTACGTGATGCTGTTCTGGTGCAGCGTCTCCAAGGCAGTGTTGCGGTCCTCGGTTGTGGCCCTCTTGTCCATGTTGCGGAAGCGTTCCATGGCAGACATGTTGCGCTGGATGCTCTGTTTTGGAATGTCTAGCTTGGAGACAAAGGTCAAGCAGCCACGGTCGTCATAGTTAAAGAGCATTGGGCAGCAGTCATGGCCCTGAAACAAGAGGTCAGTCAGCCTTGTCACAGAGCACATATTGTTTCTGGCCTGGAGACTGCACGCAGTACACTACAAGGAGGAGGAGATACTTACAGCAGCAACCACGCTGTTCTCCGAGACAAATGACACACTCAGGAGTGGCAGGAACTCAGTTTTCAGAGTTGAGACCCTGAACATAAGAGCACTTGTTAGGCTGAGTGGAGCTGCCCCACACAGCATCTTCACAGACAGCACAACAAAGGCCCCTTCTCAAGAAGTCTCTGCAGTGCTGGCCAGCACTTCTAAGGGCCCAACCTCTCCTTGGGGAATTTTAAGCACGAGCTGACCCTAAAGTGACCTTCACAAACTCAGGCCTGTGGACTGGGGATGCACAAAGCCCTGGGTTTGACCCCTAGCACCCCCCCAATCAATCACTCAATCAATCAAATAAGAGTAAAGTGCGAACTGGAGAGATGGCTCAGCAGTTAAGAGCAATGGTTGCTCTAGCAGAGGACCTGGGCTTGGATCCCAGCACCCACAAGGTGGCTAACAACTGTGTGTAATCCAGTTCCAGGGTCATCCAATACCCTCTTCTGGCCTCTGTGGGTATTGCACACCGGTGGTACACTTCCATGCAGGCAAAACATTTGTACACATTAAAAAAAGAGAACATCTTACTTTATAAAAAAGGTGGGGTACTTTTTACTTTGTGTGCATGTGTCAATGCGTGCATGTAACCTGGGAAAGGTTCTCACTGAACCTGAAGCTTGCTGCTTTGGCTATGCTGGCTGGCCAGCAAGCTGTCACATCTGCCTGTCTCTGCCTCCCAACACTGGGCTTACAGGCACATGTGGTCATGCCTGGCTTAAAAGGGTGCTGGGGATTTGAACTCAGGTATTTCTGCTTATGCAGCAAGTGCTCTGTGGCTGTTTGAATGAGAATGTCCCTCATAGGCTCCAAGTATTTCAACTCTTGGTCCCCAGTTTGTGGTGCTGTTTGGGTAGGGTCATAAAACCTTTAGGAGGCGTGGCCATGCTGGAGGAAGTCATCATTGAGGGTGGGCTTTGAGGGCACATGGTCTCATCCCACTGCAGCCTGCTTCCTGTGCCTACTTAAAGATCTGAGTGCTTAGCTTTCTGCTCTTGATGCTCCTGCGATGCCTTCCTGCCCTCTAGATGCTTATCCTCTGAATTTTTATTTTATTTTTTTATTAAGAGATTCATTGCAAGGAATTGGCTTATGTAATTATGGGGCTGACTAGGCAAGCCCCAAATTTGAAATCCACAGGAAAGGAGGCTGGGACTCTGGGGAAGAATGTCTGCAGGACAGTCTCCTTCAGGGAAGTCTCAGCTTAGTCCTTTCATCTGATGAACCAGGCCCACAGGGGTCATCTGGGACATTCTCCCTTATCAAGGCCAGCTGACGTCAATGCCATCCACAGAACACCCCACAACAACACTGGATTAGCACATGAGCATCAGTTTGGTCATCCCAGGCTGGTGTAGTTGGAAGGGACTGAGTGACCACAGAGGCTTAGGGAGGGTCCTTTCTCTGCTCTGGCACATACATACACTTGGCATGATATGGTTCTATCCCCTCTGGTCTCTGCCAGGCCAGTCAGGTTTGCTAGCTTCAGTGATGCTTAACAATCTGCCTGCCCCTCTGCCTTGGAGGCGAACCCTCTGGAATTTTAAGTCCAATAAACTCTTCCTTCTATAAGTTGCTTTGGTCATGGTGTTTTATCACATCAACAGAACAGTAACTAATACATGTTCTTACCCACTGAGTCATCTCTCCAGGCCCAGTGATGCATTTTTGAAAACTAACTGCTACCAGGCAGATGGGGCATGCCTCTGCTCTGAATTCCAGGTCAGTCTGAACTACATAGTGAGCTTGACGACAGACTGGGCTACAGAGAGTTGGACAGCAGATGCACGAATACACACACACATACACACTGTTTCTGTCTCAGGAGACCCCTTGAGTGGATACTGGATGAAAGGGCTAATAAATAGGTCATGTAAAGGGGCTGGAGAGATGGCTCAGCAGTTAAGAACACTGACTGTTCTTGCAGAAGACCTGGGTTCAAATCCCAGCACCCACATGGCAGCTATCAACTGTCTGTAACTCCAGTTCCAGGGAATCTGACAGTCTCTTCTGTTCTCTGCCGGCATTGCATGACATGGGTACACTTACCTACATTCAGGCAATATATGCATACACATAAAAATAATAAATAAAATATTTTAAACATAGGTCATTTAAAGCCTGTACTTTATTTTCCATCTTTGACTTTTGCTTCTTGAGGTATTTATGTTGGAGAAGGGGAAGGGTGGGAGCTCAGAATCTGACTTACAGAACTGGAAAAGGCAGCTTGTAAGTCAACATGAGTATGAACAAGTATATGTAATAGTAATAAGCATGCACTAGGGGCTGGAGAGATGGCTCAGTGGTTAAGAGCACTGGCTGCTCTTGCAGAGGACCTGGGTTCGATTCCCAGCACCCACTTGGCGGCTATGAACCGTCCTCAATTCCAGTTCCAGAGGAATCTGAAGCCCTCTTCTGACCTCTGCGGCACTGCACGACACAGGTGCACTCACATACATGCAGGCAATACACTCCTATACATACAATAAAATAAAACAAATAAAATATTTTTTAAAAAAGCAGGCACTAAAAACATTAAATGTTATCGTGGCCTACACAAAATCAACACTCCTCTCAAAGAATTTTTTAATGTAGCTGGGTATTTGTTTTGTTTTGTTTGAGACAAGAGTCTCACTATGTAGCCTAGCTGGCCTGGAGCTCTCTATGTAAACCAGGCTGGCCTGGCTTGGTGCATACCTTTATTCCCTAGCACTCTGGAGGCAGAGGCAAGCCAATCTCTCTGAGTTTAAGGCCAGCCTAGTTTACATAGTTCCAGGCCAGCTGCGGCTACGGGGAGACCTTGTCTCAAAATTAAAAAAAAAAAAAAAAAAAGTGTGTGTGTGTGTGCGTGTGTGTGCATGCAAATACCTTTTAGAAGACTTAGCAAATTTTATTATTTAAAAAGTTTTTACATTTACTTTGTGTACATATACAACAGTGTGTGTGGAAAACAACCCATCAGAATTGGTTCTCATCCCTTATAACATGGGCTCCACTGATCAAACTCATATTGTCAGGCTTGACACCAGGCACCTTTACCTGCTGAGCCACCTCATCAGCCTGGCTACATTAATTTTCATTTCATTTCTTTATTTTATTATTTCTTTTTTGGTCTTTTTGAGACAGGGCCTCCCTGTAGCCCAAGCTGTCCTGGAACTCACTATGTAGACCAGGCTGGCCTTGAACTCACAAAGATCCACCTGCCTCTGCCTCCCAAGTGCTGGGACTACGGGTGTGCGCCACCATGCTCAGCTTATTTTTTTTGAGACTTGGTCTCTTGTATCCCACACTGGAGCACACTATGGCACCAAGGATAACTTGAACTTCTGTTCCTTCTGCCTTCACCTCTTATTTTTTTAAATAGTTTATTATTATGTGTGGCAGATGATGGGGGGAGGCACCTAGGTGCCATGGCATGTGTGTGGAGCTCAGAGGACTCTGTGGAGTCAGTTCTCTCCTTTTAACTTTAGTGGGGATTGAACTCTGGTCACCAGGCTTGCACAGCAAACACCTTACCAAACCATTGCCTCAGCTTTCACACTTTTGGTATTTTGAAGGTCTCACTATATAGCCCACGCTCAAAGTCACAGTGTAGTCTAGGTTGGCCTCAAACTCGTGATCCTCATGTCTCAGCTTCCTGAGTGATAGGATTACAGGCCTGTACCACCATACCTGGCTTATAAAACCACTTTTATTTGGGGGGCTGAGCAAGATCATAAACTTGAGACCAGCCTGGGTTACACAGTGAGTTCCAGGCCAGCCTGGGCTACACAATAAGACCCTGTCACATCTCTAACATGGTGACCTTTCACAAAAGAATTTCCATAGTAAACTCAGCTTTTCTGTTTCCACACAGAGAGGCCACTTTAGAGGCCTATCACAGGGAAGGCCCTTTAGCTACCAAAGGAGGAGGGCTCCCCAGGAAAAGACCAAGGATTCCTGGGAAGAGAAAGGCTCCAGTCGTCTTCCTCTGGCTGCAATGAGCAAGTTTACTCTGCTGTCTGATAAGGTGCTTCTAGGCTCAGCAGGTGGCCCACCCACAAATGAGTCACTACAAATCGGGTTCTTCCAGCAGGCTTCACACAGGGGCAAGGGACAAAGGAGGTTGTATTCTGACCACAAAGAGTAAGGATGGATCTTTTTCTTGGTGGTAGTTGGGAAAGAACCCAAAGTGGTACGCATGCTAGGCAGGTACTCTATCACTCAGCCACAGCCACAGCCCTGGTCCTTAAGTTTTTGTTTTATTTTATTTTAATTTTATGTGTAAGAGTGTTCTGCCAGCTGGGTGTGGTGGCGAACACCTTTAAGTCTCGGCATTCAGGAAGCAGAGGCAGGCGGATCTCTGTGAGTTCAAGGCCAGCCTCGTCTACATAGCAAGTTCCAGGTCTGCTGGAGCTACAGGAAGACTCTCAAAAAAAAGTGTTTTGCCTGCATTTATGTAAGAGTACCACTTATGTGCAATGCCCAGTGGAGGCCAGAAGAGGGTGTTGGATCCCCTGCAACTGGAGTTACAGATGACTGTTAGTCCTCTGCAGGAGCAGCCAGTGTGCCTAACGGCTACTGAGTCATCTCTTCAACCCCCACCACCCCTTTTTTGACACAGGGCCTCCCTGTAGCCCTAGTTGGTGCAGAACTCACTATGTAAACCAGGCTGGCCTCAATCTCACAGAGATCCATCTGCCTCTGGCTCCTAAATGCTGGGATTAAAGGCATGTGCCACAACGCGATCCAGCCCCCTTTAGAAAAGATTTATTTTTATTTTATGTGTTTTGTTTGCATGTATGTAACTGTACCACATGCTAGCACTGTCCTTGTTTTTTTGAGATTGGTCCTCAGTATGTAGCTCAGGCTAGCCTCAAACTCATGATCCTCCTGCCTTTACCTCCTGAGTGCTGGGAATACAGATGTGCCACCATGCCTTGCCTGGACCTCTGTTAAGGGATGGTGGGTGACCATGACATGATGTAAAGAACTGAGAGTAACAGACTGCTGTAGGGTGCTATCCTCCAAGCAAATCAGCCATCATCTTCCTCATTGCAGCTCTGACTACCTGTGAGTGACCCTGAAGTCCTGCAGGACAGCTGACCTTTCCTCACAGGAGGAGGTGGATCAGGACCTCATCGGAAGAGTCTAGCCACCCACCCTGCACCTCCCAGCCAGCTGCATGGGATTCTGCCCTAATCTCAGTGGCCTCACAGTCTTGGAAGGTGCTAGAATGTATAGTGTAGTGTGTGAAGAGTTACACTGTGTGTGTGGGGGGGTGTTTCACCTGTGTAGTCATGGGGAAGTGTCATTCATACTGGAGTGAGACTTTTGGTGGTATGGCTGCTTCGGGGTCACCCATGCTCCTGTTTGGTAACCTCTCACCCATGCTCTATAAAAAAGTCCAGTAAACCTGCTGCTCAGCCGAGTTGGATTTCAGTGGAATCAATCTTTGCTTTGTCACGGTACACTGTCTGGGTGAGTAGGCACTTGTTCCCATCTCCCCTGGAAAAGGTTCATGAAACACAGACTAACTAACCTGGCCATGTTGAAGGGGCTCTTATTAGTGGCATACCAGAAGGTTTTTCATAAGAACACTACCAGCATTTCTACTAAGAAGTGTTTCTGGAAGAAAGTCCCAACTCCTTGAAATTTTCCAACAGATATTTACATACAATCCCTTAAGTTTAGAGGCAGCTCCTCTCCGTATGATACCTAAGGAAGGGCAACCTCAGTGTGGTCCCCAGCGTGCACCCCCACATTTCACCTTACAAACCAAAGGTGAATACTCACTGCACGCTGTTTGAAGCATCAGCAACAGACACGGTGCTATCATGGCTGACCCAGGCCAGGCGGCTCCCACTGGCAGAGAAACTGACCCCATGTACCCAGCCACCAGTGCCACTGCCTCCAAATTCAGACATTAGCTGACCAAAAGGCATCTTACTGCCCCAGGGTGTGCTGGCTGGCTTCTCATCTACCTCTTTAATGTAGGCGGAGAACACTCTGCAGGAAAAGAAGAAAAAAGCCAAGGAAAACATGAATATTAAAGCAGGTCACGGGCTCCTACCTGAGGAAATCCAGAATGGGAAGAGTCCAGTTTGAAAAGGAACAGAATCTGGGGCTGGAGAGATGGCTCAGTGGTTAAGAACACTGGTTGTTCTTGCAGAAGACCCGGGTTCGAATCCCAGCACCCACATGGCAGCTAACAACTGTCCATAACTCCAGTTCCAGGGAATCTGATGGCCTCTTCTGACCTTCGAGGGCATTGCACGACATGGGTACACTAACCTACGTGCAGGCAATACATGCATACACATAAAGTAAAATAAAAAAATAAAATTAAAAAAAGGAACAGAATCTGATGGACAAGTTCAGATTCAAACACTTTGAGACAGTAGTCTGAGGGTCCCCCAGGCCAATTAAACCTGGAAAATCACTGTCTCTGCTTTTTGGTTTTTTTTTTTTTTTTTTTTGAGACAGTCTCTATGCAGCCCAGCTGGCCTGAAACTTGCTATATAGACCAGGCTGGCCTCCATCCACAGATTTGACACCCTCTTCTGTCCCATGGACACTGCATGTATGTGGTGCACAGACAGACATACAGGCAAAATGTTTATATACATAAATAAAAATAAATCTTAGAAAAATTACATGCAGCTGTGTCACACCTTTAATTCTAGTACTCAGAAGACAGAAGCTGGTGGATCTCTGTGAAATCAAGGTCAGCCTGGTTTACATAGCAAGCTCCAGGCTAGCTGTGGCTACAGGGAGACCCCATCTCAAAAAGGCAAAAAAAATTTAAATAAACAACAACAACAAAAATACATGCTTAAAAAGATAATTGGGCTGGGGAGATGGCCAGTCGGTAAAGTGACTTATACAAACACAATGCCTAGGTCTAGATCCCTGTCACCCATGTAAAAAGCTGAGCATGGTAGCATACACCTGTAACCCCAGCACTGAGCAGGGCGGAGACAACAGTAAGATGCAAAGTGACAAGAGGGAGACCCCCAAAGCCACCTCTGGCTCCACACTTATACATGTACATGCATACACCAAAAAAAACAGGTAATAGGGACAGACACACTAAAGGAAAAGCCAAGAGGCCAGTGAGAAAGAGCAGACCACTCCCTACCCCTGCCAGGTGATGAGCTGGCACCCCAAACTCAGGTCAACTTGTCAGCTTTGTGGCAAGAACAGTGGGAGAGGAAGTGGATGAAATCAGCCTTTTGCTGATTTATTTTTATGTGTATGAGTGTTTTGTTTGCATGTAAGTGTATCATGTGTGTGCAATGCCCGTGGAGGCCAGGAGAGGCTGTCAGAAGAGAGCACTGGATCTCCTAGAACTAGAGTTACAGATGGTTGTGAGCCACTATGTGGGTGCTGGGAACTGAACCCAGGTCCTCTGGGTTCTTCTGAGCATTATACACATGTGGTGCACTTACATACATGCAAGGAAAACACTCATAAACATAAAATGGAAAAAAAAAAAGAGAGACTCCCTAAAAGAACTTGGGGGGCTAGAGAGATGACTCAGTGGTTAAGAGAGTACACTGTTGTTCAGAGGACCTGGGCAGCTCACAGTTGCCCATAACTCTGGCTCCAGGGGATCTGACACTCTCTTCTGGCTTGCTCAGGCATTGTATGTAGGTGGTGCCATGTACCTATATACTCAGGTACAAACAGAAATACACATAAATATATAAATTTTGAAGAAAAAAAAAAAAAAAAAGAAGAGAAGGAGAGAAGGAACTCAGGTGTCCTCCAACCCAACTCCACATGGCAATGGCAACAGGGACTTTAGAGAGTAAGGGCATCAACAAGATGGCCAGTGAGTGTCTCCCGTGTGCCGAAAGTGAGGTATATGCCAACAGGCCCATAGAGTGCCATTTTGTTCTGTGTTCCAAGAGTCAGTCTGACTGGGCAATAGATCACAAATGGCCAAACTACAGAACACAACTAAATCTTCACAGTCAAAACAAAACACATTTGTTGTTCTTCTTTTTCTGTAATACTGAGAAATGAACCCAGGGCTTTGAACATGCCAGGCAAGAACATCACCACTGAGTCACACTCCTCTCTAGGAGATTCTGAGTAAGTGCTGTACCACTGAGCCGTGCCCCAGCTCCTTCACTGGGAGATTCTACACAAGAACTATACCACTAAGCTATATCCCCAATCCTGTTTTGTTTTGTCTTGTCTGTTTTTCCTTAAATTAAACCTTGGGTATTCCTAAATATAAACCCCTGACCGGGTTTTCCAGAAATTTTCCACATAGGTACTAAAGGCAGGAGTATCACAGCTCCACCACCAGAGAGTCAACATGAAGCTGGAATCACTTGCTTTTCTTTTAGCTGCCTCCACGTCCTGAGTGCTGAGATTCAGGCATGTACCATCAGGCCTGATTTATGCAGTGCTGGGGATGGAACCCAGCTTTGGGCACACTAGGCAAGCCCTCCACCAACTGAGTTACAGCCCCGCTAGCTCCTTTTCTAGATCACAAGTTCCTTTCATGTTCCCAGTGCCTAGCACAGAAGCTTACAAAGAAAAGGATCACTATGGGCATCTGTTGACGGCTGAAGAGCAAGCAGCTCAAGTCTGCAGTAAGCATTTGTTCCCACCTGCATTTGAAGTCACAGGAGCCAGCAGCCAGCAAAACATTGTTGGGATGCCAGTCCAAGCTGAGGACCGTGGAGCGAATTGGCTTTTTAATGTGCTTGCTCACCCACCTAAGAGAGCAGAGAAACTAGTTTAGTTTATTCACACACTGTCCCCCCAAACATAAAAAGGTGTGCCATCTGGAATGTGTGCCAGGTAGAAACATGGAGGCACCGTTTTTATGTTGGCCACCATGTATCCTGACAGAGGCGGTACATTTCTGAAGGGACAGAGGAAAGAACCCAATCACCTCTGGCACCAACCTATGAGCTTTCAGAACACATGTAATGCTAATGTTAGGGATGAGAACCAAAGCCTGGTGTGCTGTGGGCATTCCTGTAATCCCAACATGTGGGAGGTAGAGGCAGGACTGGAGGTTCGAGGTCACACTCGGCTACATAGCAAGGTCCAGGTCTGCTTGGATTACATGGTTTCCTCAAAACCCAAAAAACCCTGAAGTTTGAGGGGTGGAGATGGAGCTCAGAGTACAATACTTGCCTGGCACACTAAAATCCTTGAGTTCTACACCTGTACTGCACAGAGCAAACAACGAAGCCCTGAAGTACAAAACTACCTGAAATTTTATTACAATTTACAGTCATTTCTTATTCCATTTTGGGATAATTTTGAGTTGTAAGCTTGATTTCCTTTACAAATCTCCATGAAGCTACAATTTATTCTCTCTTTTTTTTTGAGACAGGGTCTTACTGTGTAGTAAGTAGTAGATCCACCTGACTCTGCTTCCTGAGTGCTAGGACTAAAGGTCTGCACTACCACACCCAGCCTTCTTTAATTAAAAAAAACATAATTTTGTGTGTGTGCACATGTGCATGTCACAACCTGAGTGTGGAGGTCAGAGGACAACTTGCAGGAGTCAGTGCTCTTCTTTCATCATAATGAATCCAGGGATCAAACCCAGGTCAGCAGTCTTAGCAGTAGTACGTGCTCTTTACCTGCTGAGCCATCTCACCAGCCACTCCCACGCCTGCCCCCTTTTTATTATGCTTTTTGCAAAGAGAAACCAGAGCCAAGGAATCTGAAGACTCTTGTATTGATTAGCCTCTAATTCTCTAGTGCCATTTGAAAAGGGTTACTCCAAGTCATGGCACCATATGATCTTAGGAAGATGAGGATGGAGCTTTGCTGAGAGCTCAGGACAGTTTGGGTTACACAATGAGTTCAAGACCAGCCTGGGAGAGACACTGTCTCAAAAAACCAAAACAAAAAACGACACTTAAAAAAAATCTTACATCATACCAACAAACTTTTCTTTTCCATTTTATTTTATCTCTTTTCTTGCTTATTTATGTGTATGGGGAAGGGACTAATGCATACTATGTGAGTATAAGTGTCCAATTTGCTGCTGCTGGAGTTACAGTAGTTATGAGCCATGCAATATGGGTGCTGGGAACTGAACTCAGGTCCACTGCAAGAGTAGCAAGTGCTCTTAACTGCTGAGCCATCTCTCCAGCCTTCTTTTGTTTTTTTTTTTTAAATCACTGGAAACATGGCTCAGTGGTTAAGAACACTGACTGTTTGTGCAGAAGACCAGGGTTCGTACCCCAGCACCCACATGGCAGCTAACAATTTTCTGTAACTCCAGTTCCAGGGGATCCAACAACCTCTTCTGTCTTCTGTGGGCACTGCACGACACAGGTGCACTTACCTACATACAGGCAATACACGCATACACATTAAAAAAATTTACTAAATTAAATATTTTTATCTTATGTGTTTGAGTGTTGTGCCTGCATGTAAGTATACTTGTGAGTGCAATGCCCTCAGAGGCCAGAAGAGGGTGTTAAATCCCCAGGAACTGGCGTTACAGATGGTTGTGAGCCACAATGAGGGTGCTGGGAACTGAATCCAGGTCCTCTGCAAGAGCAGTCAGCTATCTCTCCAGCCTGTACACCTAGGTTTTAACAGTTCCTTCTGAAGGGCAGTTACCATGTGCTTATTCTCTTTGGGAGAGGTTCTCCCTATATGTACAGATCAGGCTGGCCTGGAACCTGCTTTGTAATCCAGGTTGGTCTCAAACTCCCCAATGTTAGGGCTGCAGGGGCGTGCCACCACACCTTGCCTAATGAGCTGTTCTATAGGTAAGAGACTGCACTGAATACACTTCTTTTCAGAGACTACATCTGATACAATGGTGAGGCCCAATTTGCCTACATGGGTGACCACCTCTCAGTGAATAAAAATGGCAAACATTTACTGTGGTTGAAGCTCAGCTAGGAGGAAATGTTTCTTATAAATTTAGAAAAGCTGGAGGTTAAGACTCAAGTTCAATTCCCAGCATTCACATCTGGCAGTTTACAAACTACCTCCAGGAGATCCCATGCCCTCTTCTGGCCTTTATGGACATCTGAACACATGTGGCACACACATAAATGTAAATAAGTCTTTAAAATACACCTCTGAGACTGTAACTCTCATTTTTAATGCAGGAATATTAAAGTTTATCTACTTATTACCATGAACCCACAAATGATTTCTACCAAGCAAAGTTTTCTCAGTCTAATTATTTTTTACACATACTTGAAGGAAAAATACATGTCATAATTCATTTAATATTGCTGAAATTTATACTTTCTTTCAAAGAAAAAGAAGCTCTGAGGTTTGGGCTGGCAAGATGGCTTAGCAGGTAAAAAAAAGGGCTTGCCACTAAGCCTGATGAGCTGAGTTCAATCCCCAGAACTCACATGGTGGAAGAAAACTGATTCCCATAAGCTGTCCTCTGACTCCACACACTACCCTCCAAACACTATGTACACCCCTCCCCTGCCACACAAATAAATAAATGTAATTTAAAAGGTGGGGGAGGGGGGCTGGAGAGCTTGCTCAGCAGTTAAGAGCACTGGCTGCTCTTGCAGAGGACCTGGGTTCTGTTCCCAGCACCCACATGGTAGCTAACAACCACCCGTAACTCCAGTTCCAGGGGATATGACGCCCTCTTCTGGTCTCTGTGGGTATTGAATACATTTACATACATGCAGGCAAAGCACTCAACATACTAAATAGTTTTTAGTAAATGGCAAATGTTACATGGTAATGTCTCCTTTCACCGTTTCTGCGGAACACAGAGAGCATCATTTCACTGAATCAAGTGTACTCTGCTATTTTTAGTAGAACATTAACACTGCCACCTGCTACTGGATCATAATTCCATGTCGAAGGGTGTTTACCATCCATTCTAAATGTGACCTGCTTTCCTACCAGAATGAGTAGGAAAGAGTTGTTAGGAAAAGCTATTTAGCCATGAAACTAACCTCTGTATTTTGATTGGCTCAGCTACTTATATAAAAAAAACAAAAACAAAAAAAACCCCACCAAAACTATGACAGCCTAATTATCCTGAATATGTAAGATTCTAGTGATTTTACTTCAACAGTTTAAACAAGTAAAATGTTCCAAGCTATCAATATGAGTAGCAAATAGGCTCCAAAGAAAGGAAAACATTGCTATCTGTAAGAGACCAGATCTGTTAAACGAAAATGAGAATCAAAAACAACAACAAAAAGCCCTCAGGTTACTGAGACTCTTTCCAGTTCACACGTTAAACATCACAGTGAGAAAACACAACTTCAGCAGCACTGCGGCAACAGCAGTGTCCTGCAGATGAAAATAAGCAAGAACTTAGACAAGTGGGCATGGTGACAGATGCTAACATTTAGCAGGCTGAAGCAGAGGAGCAAAGTCCAGGCCAGCCTGGGCTACAGAACAAGACCCTGTCAAACTGTGGAAGGAAGGGGAGGGAGAAGGAAGTGAAAGGAGGGAAGGGGGAGAATAAAGCAAAGAAGGGAAGGAAGTGAGGAAGCAAAGGAAGAAAACGAGGCAAAGGAGGAGGAAAGGAAGTAGGGAAGGATAGAATTTTTTGTTTTTTTGAGACAGGGTCTCCCTGTATCCCCAGCTGGCCTGGAACGCTCTATGTAGACAAGGCTGGCCTCTGCTTCCCGAGTGTTGGGATCAAAGGCAAGTGCTACCATGCCCAGCTTTATAAGAAGGATGGCTAAATTAAGGAAGGAACAAAGAGGGGAAGGGAAAAGGAAGGAAGGAAAATTAAGCAAAAAGAGTGCATCGGGCCTGGTGGCGCACTCCTTTAATCCTAGCATCTGGGAGACAGAGCAGGTGACTCTCTGTGAGATCAAGTCCCTGTCTCAAAAAACAAAAAACGAGAGAGAGAGAGAGAGAGAGAGAGAGAGAGAGAGAGAGAGAGGTTTAAGAATCGAGTTAATGTGCACATGAGAACAAAAGCATTCCAGTAGACAGAATGGAATGGAGACTGTCAGAGTGAGGAAGGGAGAGCGAGGTTAAGCTGCAATACAGAGCCTCAGCAGGTTCCCAAGGGCACAGCAGTCCTAGTGCAAACCTCCAGAGAGCAAAGAGTACGCAGTGTGCTCACCAGTCATTTTCAGACTCAAAGTAACAAACAGAAATGAGCCGGGCTCCACTCCCCACGGCAAACTTGTTCTCTAGCGGGGACCACTTCACAAAAGTGGCTGCGCGGTTAATCCTCAGGATCACCAGGGTTGGCTTCCAGACGCCATCTTTCTGACTCCAGACATAGGCATTGCGGTCTGCCCCACAAGTGACAATGCGGTCACTCTTAGGAGCCCAGTCAATACCTGCAAGTGAAACACAGGTCATCTGCTACATCTGGTCAATGAAAATGGACTGGGTACTGGCAGGTGAGTACCAGTCATGGGGTGATTCTGGGCTCAGTAGCTTCCTCCCATCCTTCCCCCACTATGGCTACCACTTCACACAAAGCCAAGGATGTTTCTCTCCAAAGTGTCTAGAAGGTCTCAGGATTCTTCTGAAACCAGGTAGAACATAAGTGGGTTTTTTTCTTTTGAGACAAGGTCTCAAGCAGCCCAATGTGGCCCCAAACTCCCTATGGAGCTGAGGATCCTGATCCTCCTGCCTCCAACTCCCAAGTGCTGGAATTACAGGTGTGTACCATCATGTCTGGCTTCTATCTTTTTTTAAAAAAATATTTATTCTAGCTGGGTGTGGTGCCGCACACCTGTCGTCCCAGCACTTGGGAGGCAGAGGCAGGTGGATATCTGTGAGTTCAAGGCCAGCCTGGTCTACATAGTGAGTTCCAGGACAGCTGGGGCTACAGGGAGACCCTGTCTCAAAAAGACCAAAGGGGAAAAAAAAAAAATTAGGTAATGCTTGTTGTGATGATGCGTGCCTTTAATAGCAGCACTTGAGAGACAGAGGCAGGTGGATCTCTGTGAGTTCAAGGCCAGCCTGGTCTGCATAGTGAGTTCCAGGACAGCTGGGCTACAGAGAGACCCTGTCTCAAAAGAACTGAAAAAATTTTTTTTATTGTATGTGTATGAGTGTATTGCCTGCATGTAAGCACATCATATACATGCAGTACCTGCAGGGCCAGAAGAGGGTGTCAGAAACCCTGGAATTAGAATTATGAATAGTTGTTAGCCACCAGTGGGTCCTCTGTAAAAGCATCGAATACTCATAACTGAGCCATCTCTCCAGCCCCCATCCTTTTCCTTTCTTTTTAGAGACAGGATCTCACTATGTAGCCCTTGATTGCAAGGAACTCACTATGTAAGCCAGAATGGCCTTGAACGCAGAGGCCATCTCTGCCTCCTGAGTGCTGAACTAAATGCATGTGCCACCATACTCGGCCCTCCATCTTCTACAATGAAATGGTTTTCTTTGGCATAGTGTGTGTATGCATGTTCAAATGTGTGTGGGCATACATATGTGTGGGCACACATGCTTAGAACCCTGAAGTTGATGGCTGATGTCTTTCTCTATTTCTCTCCACTTTATTTACTGATAGGGTCTCCCCTGAACCCAAAGCTCACCAGGTTCAGCTAGTCTAGCTAGCAAGCTTGCATCAGGGACCCAGCCTTTGCCTCCTGTTAGGATTACAGGCAGCTGCTTGCCTGGCATTTACATGGGCTCTGAGGATTCAAACGCCAGTCCTCACGCATGCATAGCTAGCACTTTATCCATTGAGCCATCTCCTCAGCCAATAAAATGTTTTTTAAAAGTGGAGGTGAGGGGGCTGGAGAGAAGACTCAGTGGTTAAGAGCACTGGTGACTCTTGCAGAGGACCTGGGTTCAGTTTCCAGCACCCACATCATGGCTGACAATTGTCCATAACTCCAGTTCCAGGGGCTCTGACACCCTCTTCTGTCCTCTGTCATGGGTATTGCCTGACATGGGTGCACTTACATACATGCAGGCAAACACTCATACAACTCATATACATTAAAAAAAAAAAAAGTGGCTGGGTGTGGTGGTGCACACCTTTAATCCCATTACTCAGGAGGCAGAGGTAGGCAGATCTCTATGAGATCAAGGCCAGCCTGGTCTATATAGCAAACTCCAGGCCATCTGGGGCTACAGGGAGACCCTGACTCAAAAGACAAAACAATAAAAAAAGTGGTGGAGGTGATCAGGTAGTTAACAACAAGCAATGAACACAGAGAAAGTACTCTAGAACTCTGCCATTTGCCTCACTGTTCTCTGTAGTACTGACTAGTATTACTTGAGTTTCCTTCCAATATTTTAGAAAATCTTCCTAGCTGTAAAAACAACACAAAGGAAACTTCTGGAAGACACACATCCTGCAGCACTAGGACACAGCCTACCTTACTGTCTTAGTGCTTAGTATTTTCACGTGGTCTAGCTTTTGCTACTGTGGCTCATCCTGCCCGCAGGGCAGGTGCAGCGCTTTCCACATTCTCAGTGTGCTGTGTACCACCCAGGCCACAAGTCACTTAATGATTAAAGTCATTTTTCTTTTTGTATGTTTTCAAATTTTCTACAAAGAAAACTCAGTAAATGCTGCTCAGCTTGAAAATTTCAGGCCCACTTTATGAGGCTATTCATTTACAAAGAAGAGTGCTTTGTCTGGAAAGACGCTGAGACCACAGCTCCTTACCTGTGATGTGTCCGTTATGTTCCTTGAGTTCATGGGCTTTCACCCACTGGCTGCCGTTCTTCTTGTAGATGTGCACTTCGTGATTATTGGGGCTAAGAGCAATCTCTGGAAAGAAGTGAGAATGACTGTTAACACATTACCATCAGAAAACCATCACTATCATCCTGCCATCAGAAAAGGGACATGACTGTTGGCACTGTAATTTGTTTTGGGCCTCTCTGTCTCTCTCTTTTCTTTGAGACAGGGTCTCCCTGTAGCCCCAGCTGGCCTGGAACTCACTAGGTAGACCAAGCTGGCCTTGAACTCACAGAGATCTGCCTGCCTCTGCCTCTCAAGTATTGGGATTAAAGGAATGCACTATGGTGCCTGGCCTGCTGGCATTTAAAAAATTTTTTTATGTCTTTTTGAGACAGGGTCTCCTTGTAGCCCCAGCTGTCCTGGAACTCATGTAGACCAGGCTGGCCTCGAACTCACAAAGATCCGCCTACCCCTGCCTCCCAAGTGCTGGGATTAAAGGTGTGCGCCACCACGCCCTGGCAAATTATGTATTTTACAGAGCATTTTTATTTTATTTCATGTGTATGCGTGTATTGCCTGCATGTAGGTAAGTGCACCTGTGTCGTGCAGTGCCCGCGGAGGTCTGAAGAGGCTGTTGGATATCCTGGGACTGGAGTTACAGACAGTTGTTAGCTGTCATGTGGGTGTTGGCATTTTAAACAGAATAGGAAAGCTGTTTTTTTTAAAAAAATTTTATTTATTATTTTTATTTTATGTGTATGCGTGTATTGCCTCCCTGTAGGGGAGGGCACCTGTGTCATGCAATGCCCGCAGAGGACAGAAGAGGCTGTCAGATCCCCTGGAATTGGAGTTACAGACAGTTGTTAGCTGCCATGTGGGTGCTGGGATTCGAACTCGGATCTTCTGCAAGAACAACCAGTGTTCTTAATCGCTGAGCCATTTCTCTAGCCCCGGAAAGCTGTTTTTAAATGGTGGAAAGATGGCTCAGTGGTTAAGAGCAGTAGATGCTCTTGCAGAGGACCCAGGTTCAAGTCCTAACACCCACATGGCAGCTAACAACTATCTGTAACTCCAGTTCCAGGGGAATCCAATGCCCTCTTCTGACTTCTGTGGACATTTCACGACACAGGTACACTTACATACATGCAGGCAATACACTCGCACACATAAAAAAAAATTTTAAATAAATAAATCAATCAATAAATAAAAAGCGGTTTCCAGGCCAAGCATGGTGGTACATGCCTATAATACCAGCACCTGGAGAGGCAGAGGTAGAAGGACTGCAAGTTTGAGTGCAGTGTAGTCTACATAGGAGGTTCCAAGCCAACTGGGCCAACAGTGAGATCCTCTTGAAAAACAAGAAGAGCCAGATGTGGTGGCGCATGTCTTTAATCCCAGCACTTGGGAGGTAGAGGCAGGCAGATCTCAAGGCCAGCCTGGTCTACAAAGTAAGTTCCAGGCCAGCTGAGGTTACAGGGAGACCCTGTCTCAAAAAGAACCACCCCCTCAAAAAACAAACCAAAACCAAAAGAGGGCTGTGGAGATGGCTCAGTGAGTAAGAGCATGTGCAAAGCAAGCCTGTGGATCTGAGTTTGGATTTCAGCACCCACATAAGCTGGTCATGGCCATAACTGTGCTTGTAACTTCAGTGCTGGGGCTTGCTGGTTGCCAGCCCAGCCCCAGGTTCAGTGGGTGGCACTGTCTCAAGGCAGTAAGGTAGAGTGATATAGCAGGGCACCCAATATCCTCATCTGGCCTCCGTGTACACATACATGCATATACTACTCTCTCTCCCTCTCTGACACACACAGACACAGACAGACACACACACAGAGAAAAAGAGGAAAAAAAAATCCCCCAAATCAGAAGAAAGTGTGGTTCTTAAATTTCCCCAAGAATTCTTTTTATTATTCTTTGTGTTGTGTCGGGTAGTCTATCTACTTATTTACTTACTTATTGAGAAGGGTCTTGCTATCAGCTTAGGCAGACCTGGAACTTATCATTCAGCTCAGTGTGGCCTCAGACTTTTACTTTAGCCTCTCATGTGCTAGGATAACAGGCATGTTCCACCACACCTAGAAGCCTTTCATTATTTCAGCCTTTACCTGAAACCCAGCCCACCCCCAAACAAATTCATGGTTCAGGTAAATACATATAAAGGTATCTTTTTTTTTTTTACATTTTAATTTTTTTTGTGTGTGTTATATGTGTGGCTACATGTGTGCGTATGGTGGCGCACACCTTTGGCCCCAGCATTCAGGAGACAGAGGCAGGAGGATCTGAGTTTCAGGCCAGCCTCATCTACATAGTGGGTTTTAGGCCAGCCAGGGCTATAGGAGACCCTGTCTCAAAAAGACCAAAAAAAAAAGAACCCACAAAGTTATAGTGCACACTGTATAAACTTACTACTTAGGCTCAATGTCAAACCTATAGAGATACAGAGTACATACTGGTGATGAATTTGCACTGACACTGCAACACCAATATGACACAATAAGCCTTAACACAAATAACAGAATGTATGAATTCCAGTGGGGGGGGCTATGGGAGGGGAAAATGGGGAAGGGCATATAAAGATGATTAAGATTAAGATGCTCTGTATGAAATACACAAAAACTCAATAATGAAAAAAGAGCACACACTGGCTGCCTAGCACCAGGGACCTGGGGAAACTGAAGAGTGACTGCTCGTATTAAAACACCTGGAATAAGAAGCATTTTAGATTCCAGATTTCAGAGTTTTTTGGATTTTGGATTACTTCTCTTTAGTCTTACCCGTTGAGTATTCCCAATCCAAAACACTAACTGTTCCAATAGTTGCTATTATTCTTTTGCAGTGCTGAGTTTGAACCCAGGAGCTTATTAGGATGCCAGTCTTTCCCAATCGATGGGCACCAGGTCCAATGAGACGCTGTCTCAAAAAATCAGGTGTAGAGTGATTGTGGAAAACACCTGACATCAACCTTTAGCCTCCACATGTGTGCATACACCCACACAAATGTGTCTACACCACACACACACACACACACACACACACACACACACACAGAAACAGCAGCAAAATTCACAGTATACTTACGGGTACGATCCCGGTTCCAGGCATGGCAAGTGATGGGCTCTAGTAGAAACTGATGCAGGGACATGATTCTTAGTGTTTTCAAAGGGCTGAAAGCTGTAAGGAGCAACAGGAAAAGAAGCAGTTAAAGTAGAAGTCAGGCAGCTGTGTTTCAGTGGTCCCAGGGTGAGCTAGCTGAGGGATAAAGGAAACACCGTTTTCCCATGACAAAGAATTCATCTCAATGTCAAAGCTTATCACTTAACCAAACTAGCACTGTAATCAGCAATGCAGAATTGAATTTGTCAAGGTCATTAATGGATTCTCAAATTAAAGGTTAAGACTGGGAAGAATGTGTATTCAGTCTCATGTACTTATTAATTACAAAGGGAAAACCAGACCTTTATAATAAAGACACCTGCAGTCATTATGTTGACCAAGCTTCTCACAGTAAACAGTGGAACAATCTAACCTGACAGGCCTCTCAAGGGAGGGAACAGACACAGATACACAGATATACAGACACACACACAGACACAGACACACATAGTATCACTGATCAGAGTGATTTAATTTTTCATCCATACCACATTACGACATTAGGCTAGTTGTAAGAGTAAAAGGAGACACTGCTGATAATCATGGTGTAAAGACAGGAATGTAGCTCAGAGACACAGTGCTTGTCTAGAATGTGGAAGGCCCTGGGTTCAATACTCAGTGAGCAAAGGAAGAAAGAAGAAAACTGGGGGGTCAAAAGATGGCTCAGTGGTTAAGAGCACTGGCTGCTCTTGCATAAGACCAGGGTTCAGTTCCTAGTACCTCCAATCCCAGGAGATCGAATGCAGGAGGCCCTCTTTTGGCCTCCGAAGGCACCAGGCATACATAAAACACGCAGGTAAAACACTCATACGTAAAAAAAAAAAAAAAAAAAAAAAAAAAGAATAACAGCATGCAAACAGGTTACAGGACTATCCTAGGTAAGTCTTGGATACAACCAATCCAGAGATAAAATGGGAATGCCAAATACTCTAAATGCAATCAAGATCCAGACCTAATTTTCAGTTTATAGGAAATAAAGGGGAAAGGAATTAAACAACACCAGGAAGAAATAAACAGTTAAAACCACATGTAGGGCTGGAAGATGGCTGGGTGTTTAAAGCACTCGCTGTACAAGCCAGATGGTCTGAGTTCAGATCCCCCAAACCTAGTAAAGGCTGGATGCAGTAGTGCACGCCTCTGTGATCCCAGTGTCTAACCAAGAGATGGGAGGTGGTAACAGGGCAATCTTGGGGAGCTCCTAGGCCAGGCAGCCTGGCCTAGGCAGCTGCAAATTACATGAGACTCTGCCAGAATGTGAGGATGGACACCAGAGGTTGTCCTTTGTCCCCCAGGCATGCTGTGTCACAACGTGTGCATTCACACATATCACACTCACCCACATACCCGATGTGTGCCCTTCTACAGAACAACTGGCCTTGACTGTTTTAAAAAGGCAACAGTGACTAGGCTTTGGGGCAAATACCTGTAATCCCAGCACTTGGGAGGCAGAGGCCAGAGGACTGTGAATCTGTACTCTATTTTAGAAGAACTATGAAAATCAAATTTCATAAAGGAAAGTTGATTATAATTATGTTTAAAAATAACCACAAAAATATGTTGTATAATGAGTCTGAATTTGAACTAGATCATTATATAACAATAACAATATGAAACTGTTTTCATTTTCCTAGTTATAATAGTATCGCCACTGGGTAGGAAAAAGTCCTAGCTGTTAGGAGATAAAGGTGATGAGGGTGAAATGACATGTCTTCTGAGATAGGGTCTCACTTTGTAGCCCAGGCTAGCTTCCAACGCTCAATCCTCCTGCTTTAGCCTGAGTACTGGAATTATAGGCATGTGTCATCCCATCCATCTAGACAGAAATTCTGACATCCCCAGGAAATGAATGGAAGAGCCACAGGAAGGTGGTGGGGCATACGACAACACTTAACCCTGACAGAGCAGAAATAAGTGCCAGTAGGCAAGAAAAGAAACTGCGAGAAGAACCTGAACATCAAAAAGAAGTATACCCTTAAACAGAAACATCTCATGTCTTCAACTGTCAAAGGAACACCAGTGCTTCCTACTCCACTCTAAGAATGAGGGCACCCTGCTGGGTGTGGTGCTACACACCTGTAAAACCAGCACTGGGGAAGCAGAGGCAGGAGGATCAGAGCTTACCATCATCCTTGGCTACATTAATAAGTACAAGGCCAGCCTGAGCTACACAGACTGTCTCAAAATGCCAAGAGAAAGAGTGCAAATATTTAAATCATTATTTTTTTCTTTTTACATGTTTAGAAAAGCAAATCGCAGCTCACAAAGAGGCTCTAATTGCATTTGTATTTTAATTAACACATTTACTTTTTTTTTTTTTTTTGGCATGAAGTACAGAACCCAGCACCTTACACATACTAGGCTCCAATTGGAAATTAAAAAAAAAAAAATTCTGGGCACGGTGGCACACGTCTTTAATCCCAGTACTCGGGAGGCAGAGGCAGGTGGATCTTTGTGAGTTCGAGGCCAGCCTGGTCTACATAGTGAGTTCCAGGACAGCTGGGGCTACAGGGAGACCCTGTCTCAAAAAGACAAAAAAAGAAAAAAAAAAAAAAATTAAGTGAATTCAAGTGAGATTGCTTAAGCCAGAAATGATAGCATATGCCTATAATCTCAGCATTCAGAGGAGACAGAGGCAGGCTCTCCCACCATATCTCAGGCCAGCCTGGGCTACACAGATCTTGTCTCGAAACAAAGAGAACAACAAAAAAGGAGAAATTTCCAACAGTTTGAATTTTTAACTCGTCGAAATAAATCTTTAGTAATTTCTAAACTGTGGAGGAAAAGGGACACTATAGGTTTTGACATTAACAGATTTCAGGGTTTGTTTTTTTTTTGTCTTTTTGAGACAGGGTCTCTCTGTAGCCCCAGCTGTCCTGGAACTCACTATGTAGACCAGGCTGGCCTCGAACTCACAAAGATCCACCTGCCTCTGCCTCCCAAGTGCTGGGATTAAAGGCGTGTGCCATCACGTCTGGCTGGGTTTCAGTTTTTAAAAATATTTTAATTATTATTATTTTTACCTTATATGTATAAGTGTACTGCCTGCATGTATATAAGTGCACTTGTGTTGTGCAATGCCCAAGGAGGTCAGAAGAGGGCATCGGATCCCCTGGAACTGAAGTTACGAACAGCTCTTTGCTGCCACGTGGGTGCTGGGAACCGAACCCAGGTCCTCTGTAAGAGCAGCCAATGCTCTTAACAGCTGAGCCATCCCTCCAGACCCACAGGTTTCAATCTTTACTGTTTAGAGGTGTGCGATAGAAATGATGGGGGAGAAGGGGCTGGAGAGATGGCTGAGTTAACAGTGATTATTGCAGTTCCAAAAGACCAGAGTTCAGCTCTCAGCACCCATGACACATGTTCAGTTCACAACACCATGTAACTCCAGCTCCAGGGGATCTGATGCCCTTTTCTGGCCTTCATGGGCATTGCATGTACGTGTATCTACACACATGCAGAAACAGAAATAAAAAGTTAAAAAAAACAATTTTTTTTCTTTTCTTTCTTTTTTTAAAATCTTTCTGAGACAGGGTCTCCCTGTAGCCCCAGCTGGCCTAGAACTTACTATGAAGACCAAGCTGGCCTTAGTCTCAGAGATCTGCCTCTGCCTCCCAAGTGCTGGGATTAAAGACTGTGCGTCACAACGCCCAGCTCTTAATCTTTTTCTTAATCACTTAGTTTTTTCTTTCTTTGGTGCTAGGGAGCCAACCCAGGGCATGTGCATGCCAGGCAAGTGCTCTACCAGTGAGCTACATCCCTGCCTTCCCTCAAGTAGAATCACTCTAATACATGGCTCTGGAGACCATCAGGTAGACCTGAGCTGGAATCTTGGCTTTGACACATACTAATAAGGATACCCTGAGTGAGTCATTCTCCATTTCATCTCTAAAGCAGATCTTGAATAGAGACAGTGAGGCTCCTGGCAGGAGGACTGCATGGAAAGCATGTGAAAATATGTACTACAGGGACTAGCCCAAAATAGATCTATTTGCTACCCCCCTTCTTCCTGACCGAAAGCTTTTCAATAGTCCCTAGAAAGATCCCAGAACTTAGAAACATTGACATAGGCATAAATTCTTGGTCCTATTCCACTGTGAATAGTATTCACAGAAGTTGCAATTTCAGTTCCTGGTCAGGGCCAACTTCAACTCTGATTCATCTAGTTTCTAATCACTCTCCTTACCAAACCCAGCAACACCAGGTGCTCTAACAAGGTCACCACACCCTGCCAACATTCAGCCGGCTTCACTTCCAACTTCCTCAGCAGACCATTTACAACTTCCTTATGCAGGGTTTGCTCTAACAAAGATGAAATACTTAGATCAAAACACTATCACTCCTCCCCCTCTGGAGTTTGAATTTTCCATAAGGATTCTCCTCCAATTGTGCCTAGCAGATGAACTGGAGGTCTCCCAAAAGCTTTGTGGTCTGAAGCAGCTGGTGAGACCCATCCTCTAACAGGGCAACAAACTGATAACTTCTATTTTTAGAGACCTGATAATCCCCAAGCGTATGCAAAACCAAAAGGTTAAATAGAATTGATAAAAAATGGTGCACACAGAACTAGGTCATTCAGTAATCTGGGTGATAAGTAGGGGGAAGGCTCCAAATCCACAGTATGACAACAAATCGCTTTATTTTACTTTTTTGAGACAGAGTCTCCCAGTAGCCCCAGGTGGCCTGGAACTTGCTATGTAGCCAGGCTGCCCTTGAATTCACAGAGATCTACCTGACTCTGACTCTCCAATGCTGGTATTAAAAGCATGTGCCATGGGACTGGAGATGGCTCAGCGGTTAAGAGCACTCACTGGCTGCTCTTGCAGAGGACCTGGGTTCGGTTCCCAGCAGCCACATGGTGGTTGTTAGCTGTCTATAACTCCAGTTCCAGGGGATCTGGATGCCCTCTTCTGACCTTCACAGGCACTGTGATGCACCCACCTACATGTAGGCAAAAACGTTCATATACATAAACAATGGCTAAGTCGGGCTTGGTGGCTCAGCCTGTAGTCCCAGCACTTGGGAGGCAAAGGCAGGCAGATCTCTGTGAGTTCAAGGCCAGCCTGGTCTACATAGTGAGTTTCGGGCCAGCCTGGTCTACATAGTGAGACACCCCCCCCAATAAAATAAAATAAATAAAGACAAATAAAAGACAACCTTCCCAGGATCACTCAACAACGTGGCTGGGATGGGACCTTTGCGGTCTTCTAAAAAGACTCTACGAAGAGCTCAACTTTGATTTGGGGGGAGAGGCCCTGGAGCGGATAAGTCCCATCACTCAAGGGTCGCGGGGCTGCCCCAGGCCAGCCTTCTGACGCTGACGAGGTGACAGGAGGAGCCGGTGATAAGGGGTCACAGCTATACGCTGCCCCGGCGCAGCGGTCACCGCAAAGACCGCCAATCGCCGTCCCCGCTTCTGCTCCAGACCCCGCGGCCTAAGCCCCGGGCCCGCCGCCCCCGCGGCTCCAAATCCGGCCACCAGACGCGCCGCTCGGAGGCCCGTGGGCCGGACACTCGAGCTGCGGCCCCTTACCTGCCCCGGGCGGTCGGGAGGCTCGCAGCGGAGGATTCGCGGACTCTGGTCAGTCAACGCGAACAGACTCCAGCGAGAGCGGGCGGAGGAGGGAGGCCCAGAGGGAGCGGCTGACAGATCCCGGAAGTGGCCACTGAGCAGGCGCAGAGCCGCAGCGCGGGCGGCCGGCGCAGGCGCAAAACTCAGCGAGCGGTCAGAGGCTGGGCAGCGGGTGAGATGTGCTTCCTAACAGCTGCTCCTGCGAGAGGCTAGAACGTTCTTTGGAACCGTGTGGGCGTCTTATTCCTCTCTTTAAAAAAGTAGTATCATTCTATCTATCTATCTATCTATCATCTATCTATCTATCATCAATCATCTATCCATCATCAATCATATATCATTTATGTATATCTGTCATCTATCATGTATTTATATATCTATCATCAGTCTATCATCTTTATATCTATATATCATCTCTGGATCATCGCTCTATCGTCTATATCTATTGATTGATTATATAAGTCACCTGTCTGCCTATCATCTATCTATCTATCTATCTATCTATCTATCTATCATCTATCATCAATATCATCTTCCTGAGCGTATGCAGTACTGGCAGCTTCTCAAGTGTTTTGTTATAAATTACCATTAGATTCTCTCAGGCCTGGTGGGTCAGAAGAGTGACTAAGTTTGTGTTTATTTGCTGTGAGACAGGGTCTCACACAGTTTGTACTGAATCAAAAACAAACAGAAAGCTCAGTTGCATTTTATCTAGACCCCACCTCTTTACAACCGGAAGTTCCTTCTTTGAAGAAATTCCAGGTCTGGGCTAGAGACATGGGTCAGAGGTTAAGAGCAAGGACCAGCTTGGGTTCCCAGCACCCATTTCATGCCACTTAAAACCACCTGTAACTCCCTCTTCTGACCTCTATGGGCACCTGCAGACACATGGCACACTTACATATACACATAAAAATAAATTTAAAGTCTGGGTAGATGAAAACATACTGTCACAATAAATGACAAGAAATTAGCACCTTTATTAGTTTGCTACTTTTTTTTTTTTGCTTCAGCTGTTGTTTATTGACACACAGGTAGGCTCTATAGCAACAGGCCTGGAGATGGTTGCAGTAGTTGGGAAAATGGAAGGTGGCGGGTGGAGTGTTTGTCTGCATCAACAACTGAGCTGAGTGCAGGAACAGAAGAGCGCAGTGCACAAGGAGGAATGCGGGAGGCTGAGGCTGTTGTTGGAGAAGTAGGTATGGGCTAGGGCCAAAGGCTCTATACACTCGAACCTTGGCCCTGTGTCTTAGGCCCCTTACCCTTGCTGGCTGCTGTCTCCTGACTCTAGGCCGGGGCTGGGAGTCCTCTGGACAACACTTTATACAGGAACAAAGTACACAGAGATGTTGCTGCCCTCTTGTGATAACCTCAGAGGGCCTCCAATCTTGAATTCCTTCTTCATCCCTGGCTTGGACAGAGCCACACAATGGTCAGCTGGACTCTGTGTCATGTTTCACAGAGGCATTAACTTTCCCTGGTGTCCCAGCCCACCAGTGGCACACTACAGCCCAGAGTGAGCACTACAAGCAATGCTGGCCTAATAGTTTGCTACATTTATTTTTTAAATATTTTATTTTTTATTTTTAATCTTGTGTACAAGTGTATTGCCTGGATGTATGTAAGAGCATCCATTTCATGCAAAGCCCATGGAGGCCAGAGGAGGGTCGAATCCCTTGGAACTAGAGTTACAGACGGTTGTTAGCTGCCATGTGGGTGCTGGGAATTAAACCCAGGTCCTCTGGAAGAACAGCAAGTGTTCTTAACTGCTGAGCTATCTCTCCAGTCCTATTATTTATTTTTGTTATGAAAAATACTTGACAAAAACAACTTAAGAAAGGAAGCATTTCTTTTGCCTTATGGTTTGAGGGGATACAGTCCTCCATCACAGGGAAGTCATGATAGCAGGAGCTTGAGGCAGCTGGTCACACCATGTCTACAGGCAGGAAGCAGAGAGACAGTGCTCAGCTAGCTTTCTCCTTTTTACTTAGTCTAGAACCTTAGCCTTGGGATGGTGTCACCACATTCAAGATAGGTCTTCCCACCTCAACTAAGCCTTTCTGGGAACACTCCCACAGACATATCTCTAGGTGATTCTAAATCAAGTCAAATTAACTGGGAGTAGTGGTGCTCACCATTAATCCCAGCACTTGGGAGGCAGAGGCAGGCAGAACCCTGTGAGCTTGAGGCCAGCCTGGTCTACATAGTGAGTTCCAGACCAGTCAAGGCTACATAGTGAGACCTTGTCTCAAAAAAATAAAAGTCAACAAAATGAAACATCATAGCACCAGTAAAATAATAGTCATTTAGTAAATAATCTCCGCTTCCATCTTTTGAGTCACTCTTTTGCATTTTACTCTAAATAAAGCTTATCAGCTTCATTATTTAAAATTATTTATTTAATAACCACATACTTAGAAGAAGCATTTTATTACAATCGCACTGACATAGTCAATAACTATTTCCAGAGCTAAGATGCATCTCTTTAAAAATTGGCTGTAAATTTTTTTAAAGAATTATTAGCCAGGTGTGGTGGCGCACACCTTTAATTCCAGCACTTGGGAGGCAGAGAGAGGAGGATCTTTGTGAGTTCAAGGCCAGCCTGGTCTACATAGTGAGTTCCAGGACAGATGGGGCTACAGGGAGACCCTGTCTCAAAAAAAACAAAAAAAAATTATTAGTATTCTTTAAATCATCATTTAAAAAAATTTTAATACCTTCATGATTAGAAGAAGCATTTCACTACAGATTTAACATATTCAGTAACACACTCCAGAGCAAGAGTACATCTCTTTCACAAGTGGGTGTAAGTTTCTAGGTTCACAGTTGAATTAATACAGTTATACAATATTGAACTCAGTATAAGCCCTGTAAGACATAAAATTGAATGAGTTTTTAACCTTTAAAAAAGATCTCCATTTCATTTTAGAATATATTGTTCCTTGCAGAAAGACTCATTGTTTTTGCTACTAACACTGAGATGTTGGTGCATGCATCTCTAATCTGTATGTATCTGATTATTACTAGTCATAATCGGTTGCACTTGGGTCCTTGGTGCCTGTGTATGTCTATAAAGTCAACCCTGGGTAGATTTCAATGGTAATGTTTATCACCTCTGCTAATTAGCATGATGTAAATTTCCATGCTTCCTCCTCAAATATAATACATTTAAAAATTTTTGTTGATTTTTTTTTTTTGTGTGTGTGTGTATCACACAGAACATCCCAAACCATCTTATTCACCCACTTCCCAGATGGCACCCTCCCACAGTCTCCCTCCCACAACTAGAGCCCTTATATTCTGATATCCCTGTTATTGTCTGCTGTGTGTTGGCACCCCAGCCATTCCCCACTACTTGCCCTTCTGGTAAATCTAGTCAGCCTATCTAGAGGTCTTTGTTTTAGGAGGGTCCGCTGTTCCTCATCTAGCGGTAATCAGTTGTCAATATTCCTTTAGATAAGATTGGGGTCTGCTGTTCATTTTCCAAGTTCTATGCTGGGTTACTATCTGGGGGTCCCTTTGGCCACCCTGGCCAACAACTCAATAGAAGGTATCTCCTATTTGGCATTGTTGCTTGTTATGTAGCCTTTATGCATATGGACTCTTAAGAAATTATAATGCCCCTTTAATCTTTGTTTATACTTTCCTTTTGGGTGTTTAAGTCCACACAGTTGGCCCAGATAAACCAATTTACTTTTACTCTTAAGGTTGTTTGAGGATCTGTTCCTCAGGGGTCACATGGGCTTGGGAGGAGCCCCTGGCTCCTTTCTTTTTCCTATGTGAAGATAAGTCAAAGTTTCTGCTCAACCATGGATCGCTCTGCTTGGAAGCATGGAGGAAATGATTACTCTGGGTTGACCCTCCTCTTTGTAGACTGGAAACTGGTTCAAGTCCATCTGGTTGGGTCTCCTCGGCCTCCTTGATCAAGAGAACAGATGACCCACTGCCATTACAGGACATTTTGAGAGATGCTCATAGTCCCCTGGAAGTAGTCGACCTAGGAGGGCAAGGAGCAAAAACTTTCCTTTACGTCCCTCTGACCAAATTATTATAGGCTTCAACGTATGTCTGTTAAACATCCAAAAAGGTTAGTTCCAGAAGTCTGGTACTTTTAATTACTGTGTGTCATGTAGATAAATCTTGGGCAAAGACCAATTGTTCTTAGATAAACCTTACCTAGACATATATTTCTTGATCTGCTATGTATAATTTGTCAGTAGGTTGTAGGAGTAATATGGTTCCCTCTGGTTTCCAAAACTAGCTAGGCACTATTTATCTCTCGCATTGTCTCACCCCTCCATCATCGTTTCCCACTTAAGGTTGCCCCCATTTCCCCACTATCTACCCTTCTCCTATGGTCCCACCTCTCTTGAGCTCCTTCTTTCCCTTTACCCCCTAGGTTCCTTGGATACCCTTCCTTCCCTCCTCCCTTAAACTAACCCAGTTTTTATCTATATCTCCCTTATTAAGACCTGTCTCCTACTGTTTTCTCTTTCAGGTTCTTTCTTTTCCTTTACCTCCCTATTTCCTTTCCATTATCCTCGTTCCTGTAGTTATGTCTGGTTGCGTACTTCTTTATCAGAGTCTGGTTCTAGGATCCACACATGAGGGAGAACATATGTTGATTTTTTTCT